ATCGAGGCGAAAAGTCCTAGACAAGATCCAGTCAATCATATCAAATCCAAACAAACCATCTGCGACATCTTATCCTGTTCACGCTGTCATCCCTGGATCAAACGTTCTCAAACTCATCAGCAACAACAGTGAAATCATTGAATTAATCACGAACGAAAGTCAAGTCCACCTCACGAGAGTCGTTGCTAGATTTGCCACTACGTGTTTTAACAACCGCAAGAAATTCGTCGACTCTCTGGCCAGTACATGAATATTAAACATCACTGTACCAGCGCTGTTTCTTTTCGCGCAATGATGAGTGCAGAGTGACCTGGCTCAAGCATTACAGCATTACCAAGGCGACTGTAAACAAAATATTTATTGTCAAAATCTTTATTTTTCACTTTGGTTTAAGTTATATAATATAATAAATTTAAATCATATGATATTGTTATTATCTTAACAGTTACTATTGTAACTAAAGATTTTAAATTTGTATTCCTTGTATTCCTGTAGTAATATCGCCAGCCAGTAAGGTCTGCTGGGTTGTGTATCATGGATCGTGGTTTCGCCGGGCGCGATTAGATTTCGACCGTTCTCAGTTTTGTGTACATTTGTAAATGCTGATTTCGATTTTAATGAAAAGTATTTAAAGTTAATGGTTAAGGAGAACAAATTTGTACTTCAAATTTTTATATTATCTTCACGATTACTTTTAAACCAAAACTAACTCTAATCCTAGAGTAGGTAGTAATATAAATAGTGCGCCATCGAAAGTGAGCCGACTGTAGGATGGTTTTTTAGCGCTAATTTCAGCCAGCAAAAAATTCTTGAACCAAATGCATATTGAATTTAACCTTCCTTCGATCCAATTGTAACAATAATCGGTTAGCTTACTGAAAGACTTCACACACGCTGCAACCCCTTTTGATCGCGCGCGGCGACCGGCCAGAGTGCACGAGAGAGGTATACAAAGTGTAGCAATGATATAATAGCAGATAGACTAACATGAATCTGTCTGAAAAATTTGAGGCACATCCAATCATTATATTCTCGGCCGGGAAGCGCAGTTTTACAATCGTAAGGTTGCGACTTCGAATCCCACTGCCTGCCTGGTCGTGGGGTGAGCGTCGTTGACATTCAGCTAAGGATCCTGAGTGGTCTATGCAGCCCCCCGGTCTACTCTGCCGAATACTCGAGAAATCGGGTGTGAGGCTTAAATGAGGAGCTGCACATTGCAGAAAAGTCTCGGGCGAAGAAAGTATGGTACACACTACCTTAATCATCACTTGACGGATGTTACTCGTCTAAATTTCTTCGAAGTAGCGCACGCCGCTTTCTTCTCGATGGCAAGTGCTACGAAGTAGCGCGCGCCGGGCCAGATCATTAACAATGGTCAAAACCGTCACTGGACAAATAAATCCTCCGGCTTCCTGTAATTGGCTGGTTGCACTTGTGTAACAATGTTGAATGTGGCTGTTGGAATACACCGAAGTAAAATAAGTGTTATTAAATCAATTATTAAATCAAAGTTCTAAACAAGGGATAGTTTAAAAAACAACGCCCAAGTCTAATCTTTCCCTAAAACAAAAACTAAAAATTAAAAACTTCATTGCAAATTCCGCCAATATCTCTTGTCATAACTCAAATTACGGAGATAATGCAGGTCAAAGATATTATTCAAATAAAGATTTCTTTTACATAAATCATGCACAATCAGCGAGAATAGATTGCTTTGGGGTCTTCCTCTTCTCCCTGGTAAGTCCAGTGTATTGATGGCAAAAATGAGGGAAGAAAACGCTGGTCCGTCAATAGGACCCCGCAAAACATGTCCTAACATTCTCCACCGACTACGGGCCACTTTTTCTGACAATGGTTCAGCATTGCAGCGTTTATACAAGTTTTTGTTGGAGATGACTCCTGGGTACTTTATATTCAAAATAGTGCGAAGATGTCTGCGGTGAACAACATCTAGTTTTTCAAGGAATATTTTGGGGACGGCCCAACAGGATGAGTTGTACATAAGAACCGATACGACTAAAGCATTGTACAGTATTAGACGTTTGTTTAGGGGCAGTTTATCACTCCAGGCCTTCTTGTAATTGTTGAAAGCAGCATATCCCAGGTTTATGCGACGCTGAATATCAGCTTTGCTACACAAGACGGACCCTAGAGTGATACTTTTCCTCCATGCTTCATTCCCCGACACTAATTTTCCATCACTGTCAACTTCACCCGTACTAGCTAAATAAACATGAGTGAAGTCCGTTTTGTCTTCATTGACAAAGAGGTTCCATTTCTCGAGTATAGCTGTTGCCTGGGGCAAAATAGCTCTCAAGTTGTCTTCCTCTTCATCATTAAAGTCAACATCATCAGCATATTCAGTGTCAAGTGGAAGGCCAGCAATAGTAATCGGGGGGATCGGCCTATCTAAACTGATTGTTATAGTCCATCTAAGTTCATTCAAAGCACCAGCCAAGACAAGGGTGAACAGACAGCCGGATAGACAGTCACCTTGGAAAGCTCCAAGGAGACTTAAAAACTCAGCTGAAAGAACTCCATTTACCTTCACTCGTAGCTTTGTGTTGGACAACAACAACCGGACAATCCTCAGCTCATCCTCAGTACAGCCACACAGTTTCAGGAGTTCAAGAATCGTAGTGCGTTTGATCGTGTCAAACGCACTAGACATATCAATGCCCATGCGATGATACTCCCATTTCTTCCTTTGGACAACTGACAGTAGAACTCGCTGACACCAAACAATATCAGCACAAGAACGAGCGCGTTTATATGCACACTGCCATGGACCAGTGAAGGCGTTCACTTTTTCTTCTATCCTTTTAAGAGTAGCCATAGACAGAATTTTTCTGGCTGCATTGGACAAGGTGAGTGGACGTAAATTCTTCAGAGGACCAATAGGTTTTTTTGGCTTCTGTAAGGGTGTTATAGTAGCCTCTCCAATGGAAATGGGGAAAGTATGTGTCTCGAAACAACTGTTTATGATTCCAGCATAATGTTCATGGACTGTACTATTAGAGTACTTAATTAGCTCGTTGGGTATTCCATCGGGACCATTTGCCCTCCCATTAGTGTCTTGATTTTTATAAGTGTCTTGATTTTTTTTAATTACAGCTCAAAGCAACGTCTTTGCCCCATTTTCTATCATTCTTACTGTAACCAAGATGTAATTAGATCGAACGCAGAAATTAGATCGAACCGGTTCGATCGATAGGAATTAGATCAAACGCCGGCGCGAGATACATATACAAATACATTGAAAGCCGCGCCGGCGTTCGATCTAATTCCTAGATCGAACCGGTTCGATCTAATTTCTGCGTTCGATCTAATTACATTTTGGTGACAGTAACTTCGCATTGAAGATCAGACAAGATCATTGTTCTGTTAATTCGCAGAGCAACGAATTGGAAGGGTTGACATCGTTAATCAACATAATTTGCTCTATCCAGAGCCCTTGCGCTTGCAGTGGCGCGCGCCCGCCTCACGGCGCTTGTTGTGAAACAAGCGCGCCCGCGAAAGCACATGGTTAGGTGAAAACGTAATAGTTTAGGTCATATTCGAACTCAGCGTAAAGATACATTGGTAACTTGTATGTTGTAGCGCGATGCGCTACTGCGCCGCGCATCTTCTCTTGACGGATGTTACTCGTCTAAATTTCTTCGAAGTAGCGCGCGCCGCTTTCTTCTTCTCTTTCTTCCCAAAATGTTGGGACGTGTTACGAAGTAGCGTGTGCCGGGCCAGATCATTAACAATGGTCAAATCTTCTCGCAATCGGCGAGATGCGAAAGATTGACATCGTGAATCAAATTGGTAACGTTATTACTGGGCCGCGCTCAGCCTGTCATTCCGCCTAATCTTTATGTTGTATGTTTATGAACATGATGGCCTGAGGTCCCCAGGTAAGTAACGTTCACAATCCCACAGCTTACTGATATAACAAAAACGTACAATCATGTACTACTTAAGGTTAGGGTTAGGGTTATGATCAGATATAATAAGAGGGTTATGGTTTAGAAAAGTCGTTCAGGGCCAGCCAGCTACAGAACAGGTTGAAAAAGTCACGTGACAGTGTAGTGTAGAGTGATTAATCATCATCCCCCGTAATTAATTGACGATGTCAATTCATGGCAGCTCGGCGCGGCACAGTAGCGCATCTCGCCGATCTAGCCAGGTCGCTGTGAGAAGCCTTATTAAGTGCGCGGCGCGGCACAGTAACGCATCGCGCTACAACCCCCGTAAGAGCCTCTACTACTGCACTGGGGATGGCTATGATGTTCATAAACATTATATTTTACTTTATATAATGTATATATGTGTTTAATTTATCCGTACCATTTTACTTCACATAGCCATATATGTGTACTGCGTGAGTCGTGACGCGCTTGTTTGATACACTGAAACATTGATACACTGAAACCAACGTATCATCAATCATTGTTTCAATTAACTTTAGTTTATGTTTCAACATATGAATTGATTCCTTTTGCATTTATATTATGACTAGCGGCAAGAATAATTATTTTTAAGCATCCAGGTTCTTACTGGGCGGCAATCATCCTGTCATTCCGCCGAATCTTTATTCGGGCTGAATGAATTACGACCTCCATTGACGGATGTTACTGTTAAGATGCGTACTCGGGTTTCAGCACGACAACTTACTTAACGGCCTATTTACTGCTCCAATTTTCCATGACTTCTAGAGATTATTTATTTATTATATTTCATTAAATTGTGATGGTATTAATTTAACTACGTATAATGGGCTCCTTTTAACTAGAGTATGGATATTCAGGTTCCGATATTATGGAATACCTCCCGGTTTGAGACTCACTCAGGGCATAGTTCAAACCCAAACTCTCAGTGTACAATGGTAGATTTATGACAGGAATTTATGTTATAATTATGGACTTCGAACTTTTAGGGGAAATTATGTCTAGAGTTTTAACTTCGAACTTTTAGATGAATTTATATCTGGAAGATAACCAATTAAAACAAGTTAATTAAGGACTGTAAAATAATGCAAGACCAATCCAATCGTACATAAAATAAGTGTTCAATCTCATGGTAAAGTCCGTTACCCTAAATCAGTTGGGTAGCTGGGTGATCAATGGGAACTGGTGTGTATTATAACGGGCTGGCTGACTCTCTCTCTGGACGATGGACAGGTAGCTGCTATATCATGGCTACGTTCCTTCAATGCTGCCAACGAGGGCAGAATCCGTGGGAGGGGAATGTCCTAGAAAGGGACAAATTATTAGCAAATGACGGATTAATTAAAGACAATAATATACTAACTAGGATAAAATTAAACAAGATAAAGTTAAATTAGAATGAACTGTAGAATACTAAATATGTAAGAACTTATCAATAAATGCTCAAATGACTTACGAGGTAATAATGTAGGTGCTGCTAAGGTTAGGACAAGCAACCAGGTAGGATAGGCTCACCACAATATTACCTAGGAAGGTATAAACCTATTAGAATTTAATTACTAACCAATCGGGAATGACTTTAGTATTACGAACAATGTGAATCAATAAATTGGGAATAACATTGCTATGAACAACATCTAATGAATGGGTTACATCATAATAGAACAATACCTCGAGCAACAAACTTCCTAGCTTAGCGGGAATTTACGGAAGTGACGGGAACCAATTGCAATGTTCTGGTGACTTCTGGCGGGGAAGAAAGGATAAGTATTTTAGTCGCATAATATACTAAGACTTTTGAACTCATGGGATTAATCTTAACCTAATTATGCATGATACTGATACAGTCTTTAGGAACAAAATACTAAGGTCAATCATTTAAAATAAAAGATTACAAACCTATTTATGAAACTAGTGACGTGGGAGAGAGCGCAGCATACTAACACCCGGGCCGTGTAGAGAAAACCAATCATAGGAGAGGCGTTCGGGAAAAGGCTAAAGGCAGACGGCCCTGAGAATCTTGTGTGTTCATCTTTTGTAGTCTAGGTGTTCTGTGGAAGAGGAGCTCCAGTGGAAGAGGCGGTCCACGCGTTATCCAGGAGAGTTGCAAACAAACAGGTTATTGCAAACAGGTTATTGCAAACAAACAGGTTTAATAATACAAATACAGGTTTTTAAAAACTGGTTAAAATATTGTTCCACTAATTGATGAATTCAATAACTCTATTAATACAATAATTTCTTTGTAAATAATTCTAATAACACTAAATGTCCTTTCTGACCAATGGCTGCAGTGTTCTGCAAACCTCTCGAATCAGATCTTAATCATATAAGTGATCACTTAATTCATCTTTATGAAACCTAATGCCAAGGAATTAAACTGGAATTAAACGCAGCATACTGGGGTTCAACTTAACTTCTAGTTCTGAGGTACTACACACGTCCCTAACATGTCCCCGATCGATTTTAGGACGTCCCCGTCATAACAACCCCATCTATAATTTAAGAACTTTATAAAATAATGCCCTTTCCTTTTACCTTTAAAAAAACTTACATTAGAAAAACTTAACTATCTTTTAAAAAAAACAAATCTCTAAATCCTTGTGCATAAGGTTTAATAAATTTTAATATAACGGGTGGATCTGGATTTCTAGGAATCAACACACTAATCAAATTTGCACAGAGAATTTCGGAATTTCTAAGAAATTTAGAGCCACTAATGCCATTATCAGGAATTAAAGGATTTCCAGGAATCTGGTATAAATGTTGGTGTGTCATGATTAAAATATACAGACTTGTTGCCACAAGCTTCAATAAATTAATTTTTTAATAAAAGAAAAAAAAAGAAAGAAATATACCACTTCTGGTCTTCGACCTCCTGTTACATTTCAACTGCTTCTATTCAATCATAACTTTCATTTTTATGCACCCTTACTTACTTATTTATTCTTACTTAATCATTATGTGTAACCAGGCGCAGTCTGAGCTGACCCCATTTCCGCAGTTTAAAGAACTGCCCATTGCTTCCCAAGGTTCACTTTTTAATCCCCTTGATCACAACAGCTACATTCGCTTACTAACTGGACGATCATAAAGACCAAGTCGCTTTTAGCTTATGTAGGCCCGACTGTACATTGAGCAGATCACGCAACCTTTTAGATAAAAGGATGTTACGCATATGTGAACCTACCGGCAAGGGACCCAGTCTGTAGCGATGGATGACCAGTAAGTGGGATTGGCACTCCTAGGTTCCACCGACGGTCTTACCCATAGAGGACTTAGCTGTCACAACTATGAACTTTGACCGTTTTCTCTTGCCTTGCCTGTTCACTAGATCTTATCTTCCAAATTTTTATTTACTCCCTTTCTGGGTAATTTTCCACCTTTGTGGGGTTCAAAAAGATAAGATACTAGCTAGGTGTGGACTGTCGTCCACGTACCACCGTGTTCCACTTGCCTGGGGACGTATGTCCAGTCCTGGGGGTGACAAGCTCCAGGTACTGAACACCAGGTAGCCCGAAAACACGGCCGACTAGAGGGTACCAAGGCAGTGTGTTAATTCACACTTCGTTAGACACGGGAGCCTTCAGTTTCCTCTCCAGCACTATAGACTTGTTTAACGTGTCCCCGGATCCTCGCGGATCCGCCTCCCCCTGTTACAGGCTGGGATTATAAGGAGCTCATCCCTCTTCCCAACCTATAATTAAAGTCATTGTCCTCGTGGTCATTGTAGTGGTCATTGTAGCGTGCATCTTGGCTGCTGAAAGCCATGTTGTCAAAGTTGTTGGACTGTTGTCCATAGTAATTTATGTTAGGTAGTCCGATGCTTACACGTGATCCTTGGTAATTGTATGGGAGGTTGAGGCCATTATTGTAAGCGGGAGTATCGGTATTTGGGTTTACAGGCTGAACTTCACGTGGTGCGACTTGGCTGATTGCATTAACAGATAGTAAATCTATAATAGTGTTTAACTTATTGGTCGTGTCATTAATGTCCGGTGTGATGGCTGTATCCACAGCGTTGACAGCTTGGGTCCTAGATAGGGAAGCGTTTTTGCAGTTGATGAGAAGGTCTGCCCTCTCTAAAAGTTGTTCATTTTGTAGCTCAGGTGTTTCTCTAAGTCTGGCACTGATATTGGCCTCCTGTATGTTATTTATGAAGCTATCTCTTAGTGCATTGTCCCTCACAAGTACTAACTCGTCTCCGGGGTAGGCCTTCTTAGCAATGTTGTACAATTTAATATAGAAGGCTCTCACAGACTCATTACGTTGGCGCAGGGTCTTCCTCAGTAAAGACTTCGACTCTTCCCTATTTCCTCCTCCGATCCCTAATTCTCTCCTGAGCACTATCAACAATTCCTCAAAGGTGATCTCTGGTCTTATATGCCTCTCCACCGCGAGTAGACACTCATCCGATAAGCAATTTATGAGAATGTGAGGTATCTCGTTATCTCTAGCTCCGATACTATCGACATAGCTCTGGAAACGCCGGATGTATAACTCTAAGTCATTATCCATTCTTAACAAAGGTGGTGCTCGGAGAAATTGAAGTGGGGCTCCTTGATTAACACGATTTTGCCTAGGAGGTATCGGAGGTTGAACTTCACCCTGTCCAATATCGAGGATGTCATTATCACGTTCGGCCATTCCTATTTATGAATATAAGAGGTAAATACTTAAGCTAATGTGTTCAAATAATGTATAAGAGCATTGCAAAAAAATTGTTTACTATTTGTAAGCATGATGTGTAATATATGTGAAGAGAATGCTAGAGAGATGCAGGATTTTGGTAAGAATAGGCAGTTAACTTAAATTCGCGCAACTCCGGAAGTCTTGGAATCTTACTCGGTGAAACTTATTCCACAAGGTTGCAAACTTAACGCGAGTTGAGGAACATTCACACAATGGTCACCAGAGACCTAATTGCGGAGTTACCCCAACAAGGCCTTTCATGGCAGTCTACTTCCAGACTGGAACTTCGAAACACCTAACTTAAAGGCGCAAAATTCCAAGCTTCAATAAGCAAATAATTTAGAATAATCAAATAGCAATAACTACGGCTGATGATCAATAACTCCATTTTCGTTTTTGCTATTATGATACTTTACAGTAATGACACGTTCATGACCGATCAAATTTGTATAGTGCATTTTCACACAAAAGCATGGCCTCAAAATTTCTGCAAATAATTATCTATTGAAATGATTAAATAGTGTATGTGGAGCTATTAAACATCACCGGACAATGTTAAACTTTGTGTTGTGCGAATTTCCCGGTCTACATTTCTAAAAATAACTATAAGCTTCCAACTACACGTAAAAATAATCTTGACTAAAATTTAAGAACTATAAACTAATTTGGCTATTCTTCGATCAGCCGAATCTACTTATAGTTACACAATTCAAAACACAGCACAAAAGGGTTTGCTGCTAAAAAAACAATATTTTAACTTATATATTCTCGCTACAACATCTGACCTTGCAAGTTCTCTCAACTTTGTTTGTAACTGAAAGACAGGCGTTATTCTTCTTCACACTCTGTATAATACTTGAATTACTTCAGCTGCTGAACGGTCTCAGTATTCTGCGGAAACTTCAAGATAAAAAATAATAACAATACTGCCTAATGCAGTAAACAATCAATTTGCATTAATAACTGTGCAGCCACCAGCCAACACTCACAACTTAAAATACCCTGAATCCAATAAAATTTGTATCCCTTATCTCCCAACGTATTTCAAACTATGCCAACTTTAACCAATATACCCTTTATCAAATCTCATATTACTCGTATCATCTCGTCACATCTCAATTCATCTTCCCCATCTTCACGTCCGCATACCCTATTACACTAACATCTTTATTTCTAAACAACAACCCCTTTATCAAATCTCCCTCTGTCTCATCACAATTCAAATATCTTCTCTTCTTCACGTCCGCATACCCTATTACGCTAAATCATGTTGCCAATCTTAGTTTCAAAGTTCGAAGGGTCGTACTGGATCTGAAGTGTTTCTAACCACCAAGCGCGCATTTGGCGGTATCACAACACCCAAATAACAGATAAGAAGCCCATCTACTTATCAAAACTAACGCCTTGTCAACAACCATTATAGCACCTCCTCCCATTAACTTCACAACATCTTCTGAACCCCGTATCCCTTTAGCCGGCTAATAGTTTATACTGCAGTTTAATATATCTCCCCATAATATACTTGTCTCACATTTCAACATCTCATAATATCCCGTAATCTTCTCAACTTTATCATACATCTCCTCTCATCATTCCCATCTTTACCCAATTATACGGCCGTATATTACCTATGGTATTTATCACCACTTTCCCTTTCACATCATCATCATATCTATGACTACTCAATATCATCACATCTTCATCTCATTTACCAAATCTCTTCCCAATTCTCATCATCATATCCCTCTTGCCCAAATATCATCATCATTATATCTACCCCACAATATCTTATAAATTCTTTTCCACTTCTACACTAAACCATTATCTCATCATCAAAACTTCTCAGTTGTGGCTTCATCATTCTATGGTGATGGCTGCAACAACTACTATCAATGTAAATAAACAAATTGCACTAACGGTGCACTAACAAGAAAAACAAGCAAACTAAAGTTTGGCGTCTCTTCCAGATTTTTGAAATTTTGCTACCAAAATTTGTACAGAGAGAGCCGCATTAGGGCTACATTGTTAAGATGCGTACTCGGGTTTTCGCACGACAACTTACTTAACGGCCTATTTACTGCTCCAATTTTCCATGACTTCTAGAGATTATTTATTTATTATATTTCATTAAATTGTGATGGTATTAATTTAACTACGTATAATGGGCTCCTTTTAACTAGAGTATGGATATTCAGGTTCCGATATTATGGAATACCTCCCGGTTTGAGACTCACTCAGGGCATAGTTCAAACCCAAACTCTCAGTGTACAATGGTAGATTTATGACAGGAATTTATGTTATAATTATGGACTTCGAACTTTTAGGGGAAATTATGTCTAGAGTTTTAACTTCGAACTTTTAGATGAATTTATATCTGGAAGATAACCAATTAAAACAAGTTAATAAGGACTGTAAAATAATGCAAGACCAATCCAATCGTACATAAAATAAGTGTTCAATCTCATGGTAAAGTCCGTTACCCTAAATCAGTTGGGTAGCTGGGTGATCAATGGGAACTGGTGTGTATTATAACGGGCTGGCTGACTCTCTCTCTGGACGATGGACAGGTAGCTGCTATATCATGGCTACGTTCCTTCAATGCTGCCAACGAGGGCAGAATCCGTGGGAGGGGAATGTCCTAGAAAGGGACAAATTATTAGCAAATGACGGATTAATTAAAGACAATAATATACTAACTAGGATAAAATTAAACAAGATAAAGTTAAATTAGAATGAACTGTAGAATACTAAATATGTAAGAACTTATCAATAAATGCTCAAATGACTTACGAGGTAATAATGTAGGTGCTGCTAAGGTTAGGACAAGCAACCAGGTAGGATAGGCTCACCACAATATTACCTAGGAAGGTATAAACCTATTAGAATTTAATTACTAACCAATCGGGAATGACTTTAGTATTACGAACAATGTGAATCAATAATTGGAATTAACATTGCAATGAACAACATCTAATTAATAGTTTAATAATTATAAAAGCTCTACCTCGAGGAACAAACTTCCTAGCCTATTATGAATTCAACAGAAGCGACGGGAACCAATTGCTATTATCTGGCATGACGTTAGGAAAATCTGGTGAGAGCAACGGATAAGTATTTTACCCGCATATTATATACAGAACTTGAACTCGTGGATTTAATCTTAACCTAATTATGCATGATATTGATACGGTCTTAGGAACAAAATACTAAGGTCAATCATTTAAAATAAAGGATTACAAACCTATTTATGAAACTAGTGACATGGGAGAGAGCGCAGCATACTAACACCCGGGCCGTGTAGGGAAAACCAATCATAGGAGAGGCGTTCGGGAAAAGGCTAAAGGCAGACGGCCCTGAGAATCTTGTGTGTTCATCTTTTGTAGTCTAGGTGTTCTGTGGAAGAGGAGCTCCAGTGGAAGAGGCGGTCCACGCGTTATCCAGGAGAGTTGCAAACAAACAGGTTATTGCAAACAGGTTATTGCAAACAAACAGGTTTAATAATACAAATACAGGTTTTTAAAAACTGGTTAAAATATTGTTCCACTAATTGATGAATTCAATAACTCTATTAATACAATAATTTCTTTGTAAATAATTCTAATAACACTAAATGTCCTTTCTGACCAATGGCTGCAGTGTTCTGCAAACCTCTCGAATCAGATCTTAATCATATAAGTGATCACTTAATTCATCTTTATGAAACCTAATGCCAAGGAATTAAACTGGAATTAAACGCAGCATACTGGGGTTCAACTTAACTTCTAGTTCTGAGGTACTACACACGTCCCTAACAGTTACTCGTATAAATTTCTTCGAAGTAGCGCGCGCCGCTTTCTTCTCGAAATGTTAGCCCGATGGCACGTTGCTCTAACCAAAGCCCTCTCGCTTGAAGTAGTGCGCGACCGCCGTAGGCGGCAAAGGAGGATATATTTAATTTGTGAAACAAGCGCGTCACGCAGTACGCGTATACACATGGCTATGTGAAGATGGCACGTGCTACGAAGTAGCGCGCTCCGGGCCAGACCATTAACAATGGTCAACGACCTCCATCGCCCTGAAAAAAGTGCGAATACTCATTGGATGTTAGAGCGCACGTGACTAGCATTAACGTAATCATTCAGAACCAATTACAGCCGTGCAAAAGATAACGTGCACGCCAACTACCAATAAGAAAGAAGTGACGTATGCGCTACAAGAGCCGCGCGCTGAGTTAGATTGTAAAATCTGATTATTTGATTGTAAAATAGCATAAACGCGCCTGTTTTATACCGTCGATGAGTAGAACATGGCGTGCGTCTTGGTTGTGGAATGATAATCGTCTAAATTTCTTCGAAGAAGAATTAGTTGTTTGGTTTCCCAAAGAAAGTGCTCAACTGCTGTGCTCAAAGCAGGAGTATTATATTTCGAACTATTAAAACAATGTATATATTGTATATATACAGTTACTGTACACCTGTGCTTACTGGGCGGCGCTCAGCCTGTCATTCCGCCGAATCTTTATGTTTATGAACATAATAGCCTGGGGTCCTCAGGTAAACCTGGCCTGTGCATATGGCCGTTCAGGGAGAGAGGGATGCCCAATTTATTGTTTATAATTGACGAATAACAAGAAATGCGGCCGCTTTTCTTTTGAGGATGGCCGCTCAATTTCCCGATCCGTGTTTGAGTATTTGATCATATTCCATACCACCTGGGGACCCCAGTTGCCAGTATTTACTGTTTATAAGCATGCAGATATGGCGGAGTGACAGGCCGAGCGCCGCCCAGTTGATATAATTCCATATTTAATTTGAAAATCGTGTATATTTCTATGTAACCATATGTTTATTGTTTATGCAACCTGACACGGATTTGTGCAAAATAGTTATACTAACTCTAAATAATAATACTATGCTATCAATTAGCGGGATGCGTACATGGTGAAATTAACAATGTACTTGAAAATTTCAGCACCGCGCGCCAACAATTGTTTAATACAGATTTGCGCGCAAAATAACTTTGCGCAGGCAGACACGTGCGCTCGCACATTGCGCAGGCAGACACGTACGCTCGCAGGCACGGACGAAAGCTACCATATACAAAAAACCTCGTTCGCTAACCCTTGTCCTTGATTCTTTTGTGCCTTCGGCACTTTGAGTCATGGATCGGGAAAAAATTTGTTTGTTAAATAAATAAATAAACATCTTAAGCACGTTTTCCGATACACTTTAAACGAGTCCAGTGACATGCAATTCTTAATTTCAAGAGGCAGCTCATTCCATATATTTTTTGTTATAAGGAGATTAATTCAATTAAATCAAGTGATGCAATTGGCAGAGCACAATCAAATTTTTAGCGTTGCAATTGGCGGAGCACAATACATTGCTACCAATATTTTAAAACTTTAATAATCAAATATATACAAGTTGCAAAACACATGATCTACTCCATTATAGGGGCAGCTGCAGGGATGAGGTTGTATGAGACTTCTGATAGATCTCATGTTTGGTGTCCACCTTCTTTCTTCGGTACCCTCCTAGAGCAATAAGAGTAGTTCTCAACATTGCAAATCTTATCCTCGTTCACTACATCGCAGTATCTCTCCTTCCTTTTTCTTGCTATGAGGTCTGCTACTCTGCTGACGAACTGCTTACACTCTTTAGACATTCCTCCAGATGTGAGGAATACAGCCGGGGTGAAGGTAGCCTTCTCCACATTCAACACTCTCCAAGTACTTGTCCTTCTTCTCCTTTTCCTTTTCTTTGTATACTTCTTGAAGAGTTTTTGTCCTGTTTGATAATCAATTGGGGTGTGAAACCCTTATCAAGAAAGGTCTTATCAAATGGAGTCCAAACTCCTCTAGCAGATACGTCAAGCCGAGCTTGGTCACTACTACTTGGTCACTACTACTTGGTCTCTACTACTCACTCTACTGCCTCATCTTCTGAACATCATTATCTTTAGTATAGTTGAGGATTCTCAACACCCACTTTCAAGTTGAGTACTCTCGACCCACTTAGTCCACATGCCTTGCAAACTTACAGCACGGTATTTGTAATGGTCTAAGTTCCTAATATTCGCCAAAGATGGTTCCTCTAGTCAACCGTAGGAGAAGAGAAAGCTCAACAATAAATTAGATGGCTGCATTTTGTTTTCATTTTATTAGGTCCTAGTATTTATTCCTATTGTCTTAAAGTTTTAAGAGAACTCACCTTAAATTATTTTAATGCAGTCACTCAGATAAGTTTATATCAGGACAATTCAATAAAGACACATACTCTGCCCACAATAAGGGGCCATAATTGTTTCAATTATGTAACTGTATAGAATTATTATTATTATTATTATTATTAGCTTGGTCACCTGTTATAGTTTTGGGGTAGAGGCAGTCACCCTCATTTACCTTCTGTAGCTGATTTTTTTTTGATTTGAAAGTTTTACAAAATAGCAAATATACAAATGTACAGCAAATCGAACAAACATATAAAATGGGCCGAAATGTGTAAATGCTATAAAGCTTGGGTCAGTGAAACAAGTACAGAGGACAACTTTCAAAACACGAGTTTTATGGCCGCCCAAAGTCTCAATAACGTCACCTCCACCTAGTAATAAAATTATGAAATATGAGTGTGAAACAATCAAGAAATAGAGTATATAAATTATAAAATTGTCTCTCAAATACAGATAACGTCCGAAAACTATTAAGATACACAATACTCATTCAAATACTGATCAGTGTCCGAGAGACATGAATTGCTTCATGGTGGCTTCTTATCACGGGCTACAGACTCGTTCTTTGCTAGATCTATCTGGACAGATCCATACATTTTTGTGGGTCTCAACTAGCCTCAGTCTCCCTGTTTTCATCAGAATCTGATGAACTGCTGTTGAGCTTGGGACGGTGATCTTGACTGGTCGGATAGTCGTACTACCTGGCCTCTTCCTGCCGACTCTAGTAGCTTCGAAGTGAGGTTTCTCCCCAATCTCCTCCAAAACTGCGGTTACTAGCGCTGGAAGCTGTTCTCCCTCTTCTTCTTTCAACCCAAACACAATCAGGTTCTTGCTTCTGTCCTCCTCTGCAGCCACACTCTTCATCACCTTCTTCAGGATGTTACTGTTGCAGACTGTACCACTTGCACTGTTCTGTTGTACAGCTGCACTGTAGCTCTGAATACCTGACTCCACCGTTGTTTGCACTGTCTCCTTAACCGACGTCTTAAACAACTGTAGTTCTTGGTCCTTCTGCACAAGCAGCTGGCCCTGCAGCCTGATCACCTTTTCCTTGTCTTCTAACGCTTCCGTCTTCAAGAAATATATGATCTCCTCCATTTCAGCCATCTGGCATTCATGCCGTCGAATGAGGTCTATTGCTTCCACAAGCCGGAGTGCCAGATGCTTTTTATAGACAGTTGGAGCCATAAAAATTTCTCTGTCCATATCTCCACAAATATCATCGTTGTCAATTTTCAGTTCTTTTCCCAACGCAATGAACCACTTAGTAACACTGTCCTCCAATTTTTTCTGTTAATCATAACTGAATCCTTGAATTTGCTCCAGAGATTGGGTCACCTTACGATCATCCTCCATAGTGTACTTGTATAGGAATGTACAAGTACACACGCAAAGGCTAACTACGCGGTAGCAGCAAACTGAACTTATCGCAATTTACAAAAGATAAGAAAGCTCGATAATTGCAACGTAAGCTACACTGACTACACACATAATGAATTATGTTTGTAGTCACATAAATTTGTTTATCTCGTTAGCAAAATTGATTGGGTACTTAATGATTACCCAATTACGACACCGTAATTGGGCTCTCTGCACGATTCCCATAATGCGGATCTAGTCTCAACCCAATCACCTGATCACACGTAGTGAACAAACTCGTATCTCGGTCAACTGAGAAGCTAGACTGAGAAGCTGGACCTAAATCTCGCACACACCACCAGTGATGAAGACAGGGGTGATGATGCTGATGATGAAGATGAGGAAGATGAGGAAGTTGATGATGAGGTTGAGAATGTAGAGGAAGAGGTTTCAGAAGAGTGAGCTGAAAAGAAGACAAGATTCTATTCTAATTTACTGATTATTATATTTATTGAAATAAACATATAATATCCATTACTCCAGGAGTGATGACAGGATAAGTACTGAGAAGCTAGAACTCTCGTTTTTTCAGGACAAACTTAATTTAAATGGCCAAACACCATTCAATAAAATTTGGCTCGATCCGAATATCCAAACTATCAAATGAATGCGAAAATGAACCTTCATTTGAAAAAATGAACACGAATATTTTTTGATTTGACAAATTCCTCGAACCAGTGGTGGCAGTAAGTCATACCAGAAATAATTATTTCAATTGGACACTCAGCGACTGAGCTAGGCCAACGTATGGGTACTGACTTTTGGCCCCCCCCCCCCCCCCCCCCCCCCCCCCCCCCCCCCCCCCCCCCCCCCCCTGTATTTATAATTAAGGAAAATACGTGAAAAATGATTTGGGGAAAATAATGATGTTGACCTAAATTGGGTAGTCCAAAAATATGGTGTTTTTTTCGAAAAACCACCGACTTTCGTACCATTTAAATATGTCTTGTAAAGTACAAAAAAGGGACAATTTTAACCTTTAGGGGCCATTATCTCGAAAGTTTTTTAACATTCGCCCTTAAGAAAAAAACCATGACGATATAATTTTTTTCAAATATCTTTCCAAAAACCTATAATTTTCGAGGAGTTCCTTGTCACTAATCTATTACCAGAGGGTGACGTGAACTCAATTGAACAGGGGCTTTTCCTGATCTCCTTGTATTTGTGTTAATTGCTGTAAAGTTTGATACTAATTCTAACTCTTATTTCATAGAGTTCGAATATTCCAATTGAAATACCTTAAACTATCTCCATTCAGTAAGGTTATGTACAAAATGTTTATAAAAGATTGATAAGAAATATGACAGAATCTGGAGATGAAGGAGAAGTTGTTGTTCATGACACAGAGGTAAATATATTACAAACCTATCACAAACACAGAGGTAAATATATTACAAACCTATCACAAAAACCATTACAATACACACAGAGGTAAATATATTACAAACCTATCACAAACACAGAGGTAAATATATTACAAACCTATCACAAACACCATTACAATACATTTTATTAACCTGGTGAGGTAATAACGTCCAGTAAAACGCTGATTCACCATTCTCTCCCCTTCCCCCAACATTCTCTCCCCTTCCCCCAACATTCTCTCCCCTTCCCCCAACATTCTCTCCCCTTCCCCCAACATTCTCTCCCCTTCCCCCAACATTCTCTCCCCTTCCCCCAACATTCTCTCCCCTTCCCCCAACATTCTCTCCCCTTCCCCCAACATTCTCTCCCCTTCCCCCAACATTCTCTCCCCTTCCCCCAACATTCTCTCCCCTTCCCCCAACATTCTCTCCCCTTCCCCCAACATTCTCTCCCCTTCCCCCAACATTCTCTCCCCTTCCCCCAACATTCTCTCCCCTTCCCCCAACATTCTCTCCCCTTCCCCCAACATTCTCTCCCCTTCCCCCAACATTCTCTCCCCTTCCCCCAACATTCTCTCCCCTTCCCCCAACATTCTCTCCCCTTCCCCCAACATTCTCTCCCCTTCCCCCAACATTTTGGAAAAATGTCCATATTTTTATTTTCATATCACGTGTTCCTTTGCAAATGGGTCCCTGGTGTCAAGCAAGTAGGTTCATTAAAACAATAAGTTTAGAATGAAACTAAGTTTTATTTTACATTCCTTTAATCATAAATAAAATAAGAGCTTAAAGTTAAACCAAAAATTAAGTTAACTAGAAATAAACTTGTGGAAATATTCTTTGGTGATTGTATATAATTATTTATTAAACTTTAGTTGAATTTTAGTATTTTTATTATGGCAAGTGGTTGAATTTAATGAGACAGGGTCAGGTTCTCTATTGTCTTAGAAAAATGTCTACTTAACAGTAGGCAATGCTGAGTGGCAGGAATGAGGGACCAAAACGCTTAGGCCATTATTGCTTCCCCTAAGTACCCCCGGCCCTACTTGAGTGCTCGTGAACTGTAACCACTATTAATTGGGAGCCAATTCTGTGCAGAGTCAAAAGTCAAAACCCTGATTAACCATGCAAATATACTATTTTAAACCTTCCCCTAAACTGTACAGTAAATCAGGGTTTTACTGTAGTTTATTTTTTTAAACAACAGCGATTTACGAATTTGATTAGTAACTGCTACAAGCTGAATGATAAACAACTGTCACTTCTAAATGTGTACTTGAAATGGTGCCAGTTATTGGAGTGTTCTGTTCCACACAATGCTCCCCTGCAGCCCTGCGCTCACAGCGCCGCTCCTTTGGCGCACCCTCCGTTCCCCCTCTTAAAAGTTAAAGTACAATGGTAATTGGACAAATCAGGTGATTTTGGAGGATATGCCGGTAAAATCTCTAAAACAGTGTGTTTCTAGAGCAAAACTTGCAATTTTGTTATTATATCTTTTAAGTTAAGTTTTTCTGAATTGTCCCACATTAAAACGACGATTTGGCGCCCCCCTTAGGTAGTGCACAGCCCCCCCCCCCCCCCCCTTAGGTGGTGCACAGCTGGGTAGGTGGTGCACAGCTGGGTAAGTGGTGCACAGCTGGGTAAGCAGGGCCCTTTGTTACGCCACTAATATGTTTGTTGACAATTGACCCCCCCCCCCCATCAATTGACCCCCTATGTAATTACAATTGTCGTGAAATCTAGGGATTAGTACGACAAGGTCAGGGCCGGGTCAGGGTCAGGGTCAGGGTTGGGGGGTCAATTGTCGCCCACCCATTTACAAGACAAGGTAGCCTAGGGGTTAGAGCATCCGCCTTCTGCGTAGAAGATTTATATATTATTAGGGTTAGAATCCCTGTGTCACCTAGTCTGGAGAGTAACTAAGGATCCATTAGATCTATGCGATCTCCTCGGTCGGCTCAGCCGAATGAAAGGAAACCTGATTGAGGGTTAAATGAGGAGGAGTACGTGTTAAAAGATGAAGAATCTTCTTAGAATACCCCTTTAGAATACCCCTTTAGAATACCCCTTTAGAATACCCCTTTAGAATACCCCTTTAGAATACCCCTTTAGAATACCCCTTTAGAATACCCCTTTAGAATACCCCTTTAGAATACCCCTTTAGAATACCCCTTTAGAACACCCCTTTAGAACACCCCTTTAGAAAACCCCTTTAGAATACCCCTTTAGAATTCCCCATTAGAATACCTCTTTAGAATACCCCTTTAGAATACCCCTTTAGAATACCCCTTTAGAATACCCCTTTAGAATACCCCTTTAGAATACCCGGCTTTAGAATACCCCTTTAGAATACCCCTTTAGAATACCCCTTTAGAATACCCCTTTAGAATACCCCTTTAGAATACCCCTTTAGAATACCCCTTTAGAATACCCCTTTAGAATACCCCTTTAGAATACCCCTTTAGAATACCCCTTTAGAATACCCCTTTACTTCAGTACATCTACATTGTAGTGTACTGTAAACACAGTACTATATTACTATAACGGGGGGGGGGGGGTGACATGTCTCCAATGTCTCCCGCACCTTATCTTTTCGAAAAAGACAAAGACATTGGAGACATTGGAGACATTGGAGACATTGGAGACACAGCTTTTGGAGACATTTGGGACATTTGGGACATTGGGGACATTAGAGACACAGCTTTTGGAGACATTGGAGACACAGCCTCCTCCTCCTCCTCCTCCTCCTCCTCCTCTTCTTCCTCCTCAGTCCTCCTCAGTCGTTCTCCTCCTCCTCCTGAGTCCTCCTCCTCCTGAGTCCTCCTCCTCCTGAGTCCTCCTACTCCTCTTCATCCTCCTCCTCTTCCTCCTCAATCATCAGTCCTCCTCCTCAGTCCTCCTCCTCATCTTTCTCGTCAGTCTTCCTCCTCCTCCTCAGTCCTCCCCAAGTCCCCCTCCTCCTCAGTCCTCCCCCAGTCCCCCCTCCTATTCAGTCCTCATCCTCCTCCTCCTCAGTTTTCCTCAGTCCTCCTCCTTCTCAGTCCTCCTCCTGAGTCCTCTTCCTGAGTCCTCCTCCTGAGTCCTCCTCTTCCTGAGTCCTCCTCCTCCTAGGTCCTCCTCCTTCTCCTCCTCCTCCTCCTCCTCAGTCCTTCTCCTCCTCCTCCTCCTCCTCCCTCTCAGTCATCCTCCTCAGTCATCCTCCTCAGCCATCCTCCTCAGCCGTCCTCCTCAGCCATCCTCATCAGTACTCCTCAGTCCTCCTCCTCAGTCCTCATCCTCCTCCTCAGTCCTCCTCCTCATGCTTCTCCTTAGTCCTCCTCTTCCTCAGTCCTCCCCAGTCTCCTCCTCCTCCCATTCACTCCTCCTCCTCCTCAGTTTTCCTGAGTCTTCCTCCTGAGTCCTCCTCCTCCTCCTGAGTCCTCCTCCTGGGTCCTCCTCCTAGCCTCCTAGGTCCTCCTCCTTCTCCTCCTCAGTCCTTCTCCTCCGCCATCCTCCTCAGTCCTCCTCCTCCCTCTCAGTCATCCTCCTCAGCCATCCTCCTCAGTCCTCCTCAGTCCTTCTCCTCCTCCTCAGTCCTCATCCTCATCCTCCTCTTCAGTCCTTCTCCTCCTGGGTCCTCTTCCTCCTCTTCATCCTCCTCCTCTTCCTCCTCAGTCCTCAGTCCTCCTCCTCATCCTTCTCGTCAGTCCTCCTCCTCCTATTCAGTCCTCCTCCTCCTTCTCCTCAGTTCTTCTCAGTCCTCCTCCTGCTCATTCCTCCTAAGTCCTCCTCCTGAGTCCTCCCCCTCTTCCTCCTGAGTCCTCCTCCTGGTTCATCCTCCTCCTAGTTCCTCCACCTTCTCCTTCTCCTCCTCAGTCATTCTCCTCCTCCTCCTCCTCAGTCATCCTCTTCAGTACTCCTCAGTCCTCCTCCTTCTCAGTCCTCCTCAGTCCTCTTCCTGAGTTCTCCTCCTCCTCAGTCCTCCTTCTGGGTCCTCCTCCTCCTAGGTCCTCCCCCTCCTCCTCTTATTCACTCCTCAGTTTTCCTGAGTCCTTCTCCTGAGTCCTCCTCCTGAGTCCTCCTCCTGGGTCCTCCTCCTCCTAGGTCCTCCTCCTTCTCCTCCTCAGTCCTTCTCCTCCTCCTCCTCAGTCCTCCTCCTCCTCCCTCTCAGTCATCCTCCTCAGCCATCCTCCTCAGTCCTCCTCCTCTTCAGTCCTCATCCTCATCGTCCTCTTCAGTCCTCCTCCTCCTGGGTCCTCTTCCTCCTCTTCATCCTCCTCTTCCTCCTCAGTCCTCAGTCCTCAGTCCTCCTCCTCATCCTTCTCGTCAGTCCTCCTCCTCCTTAGTCCTCCCCAGTCCCCCTCGTCCTCCTATTCAGTCCTCCTCCTCCTCCTCAGTTCTCCACAGTCCTCCTCCTTCTCATTCCTCCTAAGTCCTCCTCCTGAGTCCTCCCCCTCTTCCTCCTGAGTCCTCCTCCTGGTTCATCCTCCTCCTAGTTCCTCCACCTTCTCCTTCTCCTCCTCAGTCCTTCTCCTCCTCTCCTCCTCAGTCATCCTCTTCAGTACTCCTCAGTCCTCCTCCTTCTCAGTCCTCCTCCTTCTCAGTCCTCCTCAGTCCTCTTCCTGAGTTCTCCTCCTCCTCCTCCTCCTCAGTCCTCCTTCTCGGTCCTCCTCCTCCTAGGTCCTCCCCCTCCTCCTATTCACTCTTCAGTTTTCCTGAGGCCTTCTCCTGACTCCTCCTCCTGAGTCCTCCTCCTGGGTCCTTCTCCTCCTAGGTCCTCCTCCTTCTCCTCCTCAGTCCTTCTCCTCCTCCTCCTCAGTCCTCCTCCTCCTCCCTCTCAGTCATCCTCCTCAGCCATCCTCCTCAGTCCTCCTCCTCCTCCTCAGTCCTCATCCTCATCGTCCTCTTCAGTCCTCCTCTTCCTGGGTCCTCTTCCTCCTCTTCATCCTCCTCCTCTTCCTCCTCAGTCCTCAGTCCTCAGTCCTCCTCCTCATCCTTCTCGTTAGTCCTCCTCCTCAGTCCTCCCCAGTCCCCCTCCTCCTATTCAGTCCTCCTCCTCCTCCTCAGTTCTCCTCAGTCCTCCTCCTTCTCATTCCTCCTAAGTCCTCCTCCTGAGTCCTCCTCCTCTTCCTCCTGAGTCCTCCTCCTGGTTCATCCTCCTCCTAGTTCCTCCACCTTCTCCTTCTCCTCCTCAGTCCTTCTCCCCCTCCTCCTCCTCCTCAGTCATCCTCTTCAGTACTCCTGAGTCCTCCTCCTTCTCAGTCCTTTTCCTGAGTTCTCCTCCTCCTCCTCCTGAGTCCTCCTTCTGGGTCCTCCTCCTAGGTCCTCCTCCTTCTCCTCCTCAGTCCTACTCCTCCTCCTCAGTCCTTTTCCTCTTCCTCCTCCTCCTCCTCCCTCTCAGTCATCCTCCTCAGCCATCCTCCTCAGCCATCCTCCTCAGTACTCCTCAGTCCTCCTCCTTCTCAGTCCTCCTCAGTCCTCTTCCTGAGTCCTCATCCTCCTCCTTCTCCTCCTGAGTCCTCCTCCTGGGTCATCCTCCTCCTAGATCCTCCTCCTTCTCCAATCATACATCTACGTCTCCAGTGTCTCCAATGTCTCCAATGTCTCCAAAAGCTTTGTCTCCAATGTCCCCAATGTCTCCAATGTCTCCAAAAGCTGTGTCTCCAATGTCTCCAATGTCTCCAGGACATGTCTCTGCACCCTATCTTTTCAAAAAAGACATTGGAGACATTGGAGACATGCCCCCCCCCCCCTATAACTATTATTAACTATTAATTATATATATATATATCCTACTTCACAGACAATTCTAAAATTTGGACGAGAACAATGTTTTGAAGTTTTTGCAAATTTTGAAAATAGGTAGAATGTAAGGTTGCTCCTTCATAATTCGTCTTTTTCTCCGATAATAAATTGTAATCCCGATAATAAATTGCAATCCCGATAACACTCGACCTCTGCCTGATCCAGAGGATGTCACCATTTTACCTTCACACAGATATCGAACGCTGTCAGAAGATGACGATCAGACCTCATTAAATTTTGAAAATGTTTTATATCCTGTCACTTGACCATAATTTAAATCGATAAAAAGTATTTTATAGGGGAGCAACATATCATACCTCTAAAATTCATTCTTATTTGGTACTGAGGATTGGTATTGTTTTCTACATAATATCATGAAACGGATTGTTTGCCCGCCACGCCAGTTTGAGTGTTTCCCTTTGTTTGAAATATAATCCTCCTGCTTGATTGCAGTTGAGCGCTCTTTGGGAATCCAAGTAACAACTAATCATTATATATATATAATATATTTCATTGGCTGGACTTCTACACAATAAAAGAAAGCGGTTGTGATTAGATCTTCGTAAGTCTTTGCATCATTTATTTACATTAATTCTCAAATTATTTGTTATATAGTAGTGTTGAAAGTATTAAAACTGTAATAGATATATATATATCCATAGACACAGTGTTTCGTCCTATTAGGACTCATCAGTATGGCTCAAATCATCAGGGTTGGTTTTGCTGATGGCGGGAATCGATCCAGAACAAATCAAATTGGCGGGCAAACGATCCGTTTCATGATATGTATAAAACAATACCAATCGTCAGTGTCAAATAGAATAATGAATTGTAGCGCTATGACATGTTGCTCCTTTATAAAATAATTTTTATCGATCATGAAACATTTTCAAAATTATCAAAATTCACAAAATATATATATATAATATATAATTTTTTTTTTTTGAAATAAATTTTCGTGCACATACAGAATGAATGGTTAATAATTTAATATATATGTAGACCAAGCTCTGTGCACGGGATGCTTCCCGGAAGAATCCAGTTCTTTTAGAGGGGCACCCTACCTAAAGCCAAATTGAGATATAATAATCATATTCCTAGGGAAATAATCAGAAATCGAATACCAATCAAATAATATGATATATAGCTAGGAGTAGTAACCATATTTACTATGCAAAATGCCCCAACCACATGGTGTAAATTTATATAAAATTCAAATTCCATATCATCATTAAACCTCAATAGTCAATATAATAGCCCAAGCAAAATTAAATAACTTCTTATATACCTTACTGTCATACTACAAATTAATTAAACATTTGAAATCTGTTAACCAGAGAATAAATTTCTAAACCTAATGCAATAGGGATATATTAATGCTTTTCATACAAGTTACAACAAAGTCTTCATGTTATGTATCCTGGGTTTGGACAGGATATATAATAGGGATATATAATAAGGATATTTATATAATGTATATATATATATTATATATAATATGTATTCAGTATTAAGGTCTAAAGTGCTTACTTTTAAAGATATTCACGAAAAAACTGTTTTTGGCACAGTGGAAACTAAAATAGCACCCCAGCTAGGAAGGTCTTGTGACAACTGTAGTAGACACCTGATACACTACAGTTAAATCCTGGCATATATATTATATAGGAAATAGGTTAAACATAACAAGAATTGCATCCGTTTTTTCGTGGTGGCAGACGCTAGAGTTCCATTCACTGCAAGCTCTGATCATTTCACTATATAATACATGCTGAAGATCCAGGAAACCACTATTGTGATTAACGGAGGACCCGACCCCCCCCCCCCCCCCCCCAATGATGTCAAAGATATAGTTCGATGAAAAATTCCATGGCATTAATGACAATCTTGAACAAAGGTTATTATATTACAAAGGTTATTATATGTACATACTATATATTTTTTTTTTATTGCCAGTCGTTGATCATCAAAAAACAGGTTTTCCAATATTTCAGGTGTCGATTGATGAAATGTTGTCGCTAGCTTGTCGACAAGGAAAACAAGATATTGTGGAGCTGTTGCTGGAAAGTGGGGCCAGTGTGAATCATAGAAATAGCACAGGTACGATCTTATCCTGTGTTTTTCAGTTTTTATAAGAACTAACTGTGAAAATTATTTGTTGAAAAACGTAATTTAGTTAATTCGGTCAACTGTTAAGACATATTATTTTTAAATAGCTATCCGATTATAGGGAATCAGAGTTGTACACCGTAATACTATACTATACTATACTATATACTATATACTATATAATACTATTACACGATACTTTAGGTTTACTTTTAGTACCGTGAAGGATAATGTTAAAATAGTAATACGCAGGGAACACGCCCTTGTTGGAAGCTTGTAGTCAAGGTCACGTGACCGTTGCTAAGCTGCTGCTGGACCGCGGAGCAGAGATAGACGCTCCCACTGGTTTGTACATTCTTTCTCTTTACCATTTTGCAGGGGTATACTCCCTGCAGAGATAGACGCTCCCACTGGTTTGTACATTCTTTCTCTTTACCATTTTGCAGGGGTGTACTCCCTGCAGAGATAGACGCTCCCACTGGTTTGTACATTCTTTCTCTTTACCATTTTGCAGGGGTGTACTCCCTGCAGAGATAGACGCTCCCACTGGTTTGTACATTCTTTCTCTTTACCATTTTGCAGGGGTGTACTCCCTGCAGAGATAGACGCTCCCACTGGTTTGTACATTCTTTCTCTTTACCATTTTGCAGGGGTGTACTCCCTGCAGAGATAGACGCTCCCACTGGTTTGTACATTCTTTCTCTTTACCATTTTGCAGGGGTGTACTCCCTGCAGAGATAGACGCTCCCACTGGTTTGTACATTCTTTCTCTTTACCATTTTGCAGGGGTGTACTCCCTGCAGAGATAGACGCTCCCACTGGTTTGTACATTCTTTCTCTTTACCATTTTGCAGGGGTGTACTCCCTGCAGAGATAGACGCTCCCACTGGTTTGTACATTCTTTCTCTTTACCATTTTGCAGGGGTATACTCCCCTGCAGAGATAGACGCTCCCACTGGTTTGTACATTCTTTCTCTTTACCATTTTGCAGGGGTGTACTCCCTGCAGAGATAGACGCTCCCACTGGTTTGTACATTCTTTCTCTTTACCATTTTGCAGGGGTATACTCCCTGCAGAGATAGACGCTCCCACTGGTTTGTACATTCTTTCTCTTTACCATTTTGCAGGGGTATACTCCCTGCAGAGATAGACGCTCCCACTGGTTTGTACATTCTTTCTCTTTACCATTTTGCAGGGGTATACTCCCCTGCAGAGATAGACGCTCCCACTGGTTTGTACATTCTTTCTCTTTACCATTTTGCAGGGGTATACTCCCTGCAGAGATAGACGCTCCCACTGGTTTGTACATTCTTTCTCTTTACCATTTTGCAGGGGTATACTCCCTGCAGAGATAGACGCTCCCACTGGTTTGTACATTCTTAAATCTCATTTTTTGTACTCCCCTGCATTTTGGTAATATTTTGGATATTCCTTAATTGCGTTGGGAGTCCCCCCTAGAATCATTTCGTCCGTAAAATTGCAATAAATCATCTAGAAAATTACGAATCTAGGAGACCTCAAAGCTCGTCTTCTGAGGGGCGAGGTTGAAGGGGGGGGGGTGTAGTGTACCCCCCCCCCCCCCCCCCCCCCCAGGTTGAAGGATACAATGGAAGTACAGTAAGCATTTATCTGCTTATAGTATTGGTTAGGAAAATTGGATATAGTGAAGTGCGGAAATTTGGGGTAAGCAGGTTCAAAATTTAAGTTAAAATTAGTTTTGTGCGTATTTTACCAATGTTCTGAGTGGAGAGGTTTTGTTGTTATAACTTCTCACTAACATCCCCTCTTAGATACAACGTACGACAGCGCCCTAACTTGGGCCTGTACCCTGGGTAATGAAGAGATTGTGAAGCTACTGCTCGATTACCAAGCTGATGTTGAGCATCACACTAAAGATGGCTGCACTGCGCTCATGTTTGCTAGCCTCACTGGTCACAAAGCGGTATGTTCGTGAGCCTGAGTGAAGTTATTTAGTTATTCCATGTGTGCAGCTTCTCGTAGGGCTTTAATGTATATACAGGGTGTTCACGATACATTGAAACGGTTTTAAATGTCTATTACAACATTTATGAAGGAGCATTCCACTATATTTTCCACTCATTTTCTTTGCTAATCGATTAAATGTATGTTACAACCAGTCCAGATATCAAAAATGTCACACAATTCTCAAAATTTTAAATATTGTGCTGCAACATCCTGATATGACTGATAATTGTGAAGAATGTTTCTGCCAGAACTAGTTTGGAAATTGGCCCCAAAATTTGTTCATTGGGCCTTAATCTAAAATCTGATCAATAGAGTGAAGTCAAAGTACGATTCTTTATTGACTCTGAAAATTTCATGCGAAAATATTAAGGAATGGAGAAGTAATTACGAATTGAGCGAATTCGCTATTGTGAAAGACGAAAATTGAGATATTAGTGATTTTCAACGTTTTTGTGGTTTTTGGCCTTAGTAGTCACATTTCAACAAATATTGAGCTGAAAAATGTAGTGATTATGTAGTTTGGCTTTACTTTTCACATAAAATTGGTTTCGTATAAAAATATCAATTTTTTATAGACATTTAAAACCGTTTCAATGTATCAGTAATTTTAGTGAAGATATTAAATTTCTTGTATGCTTTAGTAAAATGTTAACTTTTATCGAGTTTTACCATGAAAAAAAGAGAAGTTTATGGCTTAATACATCCAACACCACGAATTTAATCAGTTTATATATCAAATATTAGATCATATCCACAACATTTTATTCACAGGTTGCAAAATTACTCCTCGACAAGAAATCTCAAGTGAACGTTGAGTCGGAGTCTAACAAAGACTCACCCTTAACATTTGCTTGCTGGAAAGGTCATGAAGGGGTAAGTTATCCTCTCAAAAATCCATTGTCTTGTCGATCTCCAAAGCGCGATTTTTGTACGTCGATTGTGCGATATGGAGAAGTAAATGTTCACAAGTTAGTTTTGATTTGATTTGTATGTACCATAACAATTTGCGTCACTCTGTAATGCCTTGACTGTGTCATCAGTATTCAGTTCTTGTGCGGAGGATGTCACATAAGGTGTGCTATGGAGTAGAAAACAATACTTGTAGCGCACGCGCGAAATAGCTTTTTGGACTGTGAGTCGAATGCGTTCACAACGGAATGACTTTTTAGAAAAAGCGCGCGCACGCACCAACATACTTTTTCGATATTTATAGCAACGAACGAAAGAGCTTTGCATGTCCAACTTGCAATCTACCGATCGTCATCAATACTTCAATAGCAGCTTTTCTCAATGAGTCGCAGTAACATATTAAAGGAAACTAATATAATCTCACATAATTCTGCCAAGTCCTTTGTAATATGGCAGCATAATAAAAACTGTGATGGTTCATAACCAAACATATTCTCAAACCTTGCTCCGAGAATAGATATATTGTTTTTCAGGTGGTTAAATTGTTGCTAGCTAATGGGGCAAATGTTGAACACCGGACTAAAGAAGGGTTTACTCCTCTAATGTTCGCTGCACTCGGTGGCCATGTTGATGTCGCAAAGTAAGTGACCGGACTTCTTAATTAGTTACTAGATAACAAGATTCGAGTAGCACGTGGTGTGACGTCACATGTCACGTGTTATGTGAATTTTATCATGGAGTATCACTTACTCTAGGATGATCTCAGTGATATGTGAACATGTTGCCATGTTATTACACTATACATATATTTGGAACTGTTTGTTAACAGTTTGTGTAAATGATGTTAAGGACTTAAATCAATGTATGCATGTAAAGTGTGTCACTGTACACACTGAAATATATATTTATGTACTCATGTATACATATTCTGCCTCGTTCTGTTGTTGCTGACTATTAATTAACTAATTGATAACATCAGGTGCTTGCTGGTTGCCGGGGCGGAAGTCAACACCCCATCGGGCAGTAATAACGATATCCCTATGACAAGTGCCTGTTGGAAGGGACACCACGAGGTCGTTAAGCTTCTGCTGATTTACAATTCTGACATTGAACACAGGTGTGTACTGTGTGGTGGTTATATATTGGGGGGGGGGGGGCACGTTATATATTGGGGGGGGGGGGGGGGGGGGGGGCACGTCTTATATATTGGGGGGGGGGGGGGGGGCCTTCAGATCTAGTATATTGTTTGTTAAAACTACTATTAATATCAATGTGTTGAACCTCAGTTCTAGCTATTGAACATCAATTTGTACAGGACGAAGGATGGTTGCACCCCACTGATGTTAGCAGCGCGTGAGGGTCACTACAAGGTCGCACACTGGCTGCTCATGTCTGGTGCTAAAGTTAACGTCCCATCTGGGAGTGAGAATAATATACCTCTTACTTTGGCCTGTTGGAAAGGTAATGTCACGCTGTAAAACTGTTTATGACAATAACTTAGTAGAACACTTGTCTGGGACTCTATTTAGGGTTAGGATTAGAAAAGTCTGCCAGCACTTTCAGTTTACGTTATGATGGCTCATGTTAATGGGACAGCGGGACTATTTAAAACACACATTCCCCAGGGCACTATGACGTGGTAAAGTTGCTGCTACAACACACCAGTAATATAGAACATTCCCCCAGGGCACTATGACGTGGTAAAGTTGCTGCTACAACACACCAGTAATATAGAACATTCCCCCAGGGCACTATGACGTGGTAAAGTTGCTGCTACAACACACCAGTAATATAGAACATTCCTCAGGGCACTATGACGTGGTAAAGTTGCTGCTTCAACACACCAGTAATATAGAACATCACAACAAAGCAGGCTGCACACCTCTCATGCTGGCCGCGCGAGAGGGACATTACGAGGTACGTCTTTTTTAATGAAGTAGTAAAGGTGTTGTGCCTGTGAGCAATATAATGAAGTAGTAAAGGTGTTGTGCCTGTGAGCAATATAATGAAGGAGTAAAGGTGTTGTGCCTGTGAGCAATGTAATGAAGTAGTAAAGGTGTTGTGCCTGTGAGCAATATAATGAAGTAGTAAAGGTGTTGTGCCTGTGAGCAATATAATGGAGTAGTAAAGGTGTTGTGCCTGTAAGCAATATAATGAAGGAGTAAAGGTGTTGTGCCTGTAAGCAATATAATGAAGTAGTAAAGGTGTTGTGCCTGTGAGCAATATAATGGAGTAGTAAAGGTGTTGTGCCTGTAAGCAATATAATGAAGGAGTAAAGGTGTTGTGCCTGTAAGCAATATAATGAAGTAGTAAAGGTGTTGTGCCTGTAAGCAATATAATGAAGGAGTAAAGGTGTTGGGCTGCGCTTTTAAATGTAAGTATTTTCAGGTGACACACCTGTTACTGGAGTATAATGCTGAGATAGACACGCCCTCTGGTAGCAACGACGATACTCCTCTCACCCTCTCGTGCTGGAAGGTAAAGAGCTTTACTCACATCTTGTTAATAGTACGAGCTTCACTCACATCTTGTAAATAGTACGAGCTTTACTCACATCTTGTAAATAGTACGAGCTTCACTCACATCTTGTAAATAGTACGAGCTTCACTCACATCTTGTGAATAGTACGAGCTTCACTCACATCTTGTGAATAGTACGAGCTTCACTCACATCTTGTTAATAGTACGAGCTTTACTCACATCTTGTAAATAGTACGAGCTTTACTCACATCTTGTTAATAGTGAGAAATCTAACTTTTCGCTCACCGAACAGGGCTTGAACTGAAGCCAACTGCAATATTTAACTCACCTTATTACAAGGCACCTATTACCCCTGTATTTGTTCAGGGACACACCAAGATCGTAGAACTGTTGCTAACCCGAGGTGCGCACGTGGATCACCAGACTAAAACAGGATGTACTCCTCTGATGGAGGCTACCAGAGAGGGCCATTACGAGGTAGGTTATTCTTCATTACTTCTTCAAGGTACTCCTAACATTACGAGATTGGTTATTCTTCATTACTTCTTCAAGGTACTCCTAACTCCTGGTTACTTATGTAGTTACACTCCTGGTTACCTAGTTACACTCCTGGTTACCTAGTTACACTCCTGGTTACCTAGTTACACTCCTGGTTACCTAGTTACACTACAGGTAACCAAACTGTTGCTGGAGAACGGAGCAGACGTTGAAATGCCGGACAACTACGGACAATCCCCCCTCTTTATGGCGTGCTGGAAGGGACATGCAGCTGTAGCGCAGCTACTACTGGAGTACAGAGCTAATATTGGGTGCAGAACTAAGACAGGAATCACCCCTCTCTTTCAGGTGAGCATTTTGTAGCTTTCAGCAGCAAATTAATTGAAGTTCTACGTAATATTTATTACTGGAAATTGTTCCTTGGATTCACTTTGTTTTGACACTTTGTTTTTCTTCAGGCATGTCGTGAAAACCATGTTGATGTGGTTGCCTTGCTTCTAGATAACGGCTGCAGTGTAAACGCTAACTTTCCTAACTCTCGGGAGAATCCTCTTACTCTTGCTGCTGAGAAAGGTTGGTGAAACTTTAACTTATTGTACATTTTTTGTTACAACTCAACTTATCGACACTTCCTGGTGTTAGAAATTTAATTAAGTGATCAATACGTTACCCCCCCCCCCCCCCCCCCCAATACTGTTGCCATAAAATGGAGGAAACTGAAGAGGATTGTCCCCCCCCCCCAATACTAAAGAGGATTGCCCCCCCCCCCCCCCAAACTAAAGAGGATTGCCCCCCCCCCCCCCCCCAATACTGAAGAGGATTGTTATCCCCCCCCCCCCCCAATACTGAAGAGGATTGTTGCAGGTCATGTGGAGCTAGCACATTTGCTATTGGAACAAGGTGCCAATGTGGAGAACAGGACCAAGAAGGGTTACACTCCTTTCTTCTTGGCTTCCAAAGAGGTCAGCTCAGCTTCCTATATAATAATATAATATATTATTATGTAATAATATATTTATTTAATATTATATTTCAGCGTGCTAGATTGCTCGACCGACTTCTTGCCTCGTAGATTGTTGTCTTAACAAAACACAAGCTTTAAATTTAAATGCTGATACTACCTCAGGGCCACCTTAGTATCTGCAAGTTGCTGCTACAGTCTGGAGCAGAGATAGAAATGCAAGATTTGAGGGGCACCACCCCGCTAGTAGCTTCCTTTCGTAACGGACATGTTGAGGTAAGAAATAAGCATTGAAATTAATCAAATTTAGTTAAATTCCTAGTTTGGAAAGTGCAGCCAAGTCTAGTCTCTCGATATCAAACTGTTTAAAAAATATGGGCGTACAACAGTACTGCAGCAGATATAAGAGATATAATATATTAATTTTTAAAATGGTTTAGTGTTTTTAATATTCACCGTGTTGACGTCTTATTTTATAACACATTATATATTCACGTCTTATTCTATGGTTTAATGCATCGACATGTGGTACAGATACAGGAATTGAACAATAACAAGAATTGCGCCGGTTAGCGGACGCTAGATTTCCATCAACCGTAGTGATTGCCATGCCTTTTAAAATTTGAAATTAAAATTAACGATAGTTTCATGTTGGTCAAAATATTAAATAATGGTTCTTTATTCACCATTCTTGGGGCGCTACGGAACATAAAGTGGAGGGGTTGCCATTGTCAATAGTCAAATTTAAAAAGTTAAATGACCGGACACCGTAGCCTGCACCTGTGTAAAGGTAAAAGTCGTGAAATCCGTAGTAGGTAATTATGCAACTCATAATAACATTTATGGTCCATTTCGTATAACAAATCAAGCACTCACAACAAAACGAGAAGTTAGTATGTTGTACCGCATCATGATCAATGATCAAGTAAAGAAGAGCGTGAGCTACTTAACACATTTATAAGATTCGGGAAATCGCTTGTTATTCAAATCAATTACCATAGAATTCAAATTGTATGCTTGGCGCCGCGCATTTGAGGTGTAATTCAATCAATCGTCAAATCGTGCAAACGTATGCGGAGGGTAACCATGTCGACGACACCATAACTGCTCTGCGCGCGGACAATATACATTAAAATAACGTATGCGGAGGGTTATGCATGTTTTCCTTTGTGACACCGAACGAAAAACATACCTACCTACTATACCCATTCTCAATTCCTTCCACTTCTATACATCTTATGCCTTTTTAAAGAAAAAGACAGCTGATGTAAAAAATAGTAAAATGTGATAATTTTATATCTGTCGCAGTTCTATTACAATTCTGTTGCAGTTTTATTGCAATTCTGTTGCTGTTCTATTGCAATTCTATTGCAATTCTGTTGCAGTTCTATTGCAATTATATTGCAGTTCTGTCGCAGCAAGTAACATTTTGTTTCAGGTAGTGGAGTGGCTGCTGACGATAGTAAAGCACCTCCCCAGTGATGCGGAGTGTCAGAAGTGTCTCATGGGTCCTTGTCCTCAGAATCTCGACCTCCTTCCTCACCGGACACGCTGTTTGGAGAAAATAATCAAGGCTAAGCGTGCTAAAGAGCTTGATGCTGCTAGGTAAGCGTGCTAAAGAGCTTGATGCTGCTAGGTAAGCGTGCTAAAGAGCTTGATGCTGCTAGGTAAGCGTGCTAAAGAGCTTGATGCTGCTAGGTAAGCGTGCTAAAGAGCTTGATGCTGCTAGGTAAGCGTGCTAAAGAGCTTGATGCTGCTAGGTAAGCGTGCTAAAGAGCTTGATGCTGCTAGGTAAGCGTGCTAAAGAGCTTGATGCTGCTAGGTAAGCGTGCTAAAGAGCTTGATGCTGCTAGGTAAGCGTGCTAAAGAGCTTGATGCTGCTAGGTAAGCGTGCTAAAGAGCTTGATGCTGCTAGGTAAGCGTGCTAAAGAGCTTGATGCTGCTAGGTAAGCGTGCTAAAGAGCTTGATGCTGCTAGGTAAGCGTGCTAAAGAGCTTGATGCTGCTAGGTAAGCGTGCTAAAGAGCTTGATGCTGCTAGGTAAGCGTGCTAAAGAGCTTGATGCTGCTAGGTAAGCGTGCTAAAGAGCTTGATGCTGCTAGGTAATGTACTAGCTGACAATTACAATCTCTGTTTAAATGGAGATTGGTTCATTAGAAAACTTATTTTCATTTCTAACCCAGAGACAGATTAAAATAATTAGCCTTGTTGACCATGATGTAAAACTGCTGCTTCATCAGGAACGCTCAAAGACTCTGTGCCGAGATAGCTGCTGAAGAAGAGACAAAACGCAAGGCTGCTGCGAAGAAGCGGGCGAAGAGGAAGAAGAAACGAGCTGCGAAAAAATGTAATGACGATGAGGACAAAGGTATTTATATATCACAAACAAGATATATTAATAATGCTTTTCAGACAAAGTTATAACGAATTCTTCTTGTAGTGCATCCTGGGTTTGGACAGGATATGCCCGCTTAAAATATTTCCATCGCGTTACATTACATAATTCTGAAACATATATTATATTTACAATAAATTATGCAATATCACAACATAACAATCAACAAAATAAATTAATCACAGAATCTCAGTTACAAATAATCGTAAATTAAACACACAAAAATTAAACAAGCAATAAATGAATATACAAATTCGCATCCACCGACAACTTACTCCTTCATAAAGTTAACTTTTGACAATAATTTTTTAGACGGTAATATAATGGTTAGACGGTAATATAATGGTTACCTTTATAAGTCACAAATAATAAATGAATACAAATTAATCACAAATACTAAAATAATTAATTGATATTAGGTAACATTATAACTGAAAAACGATATATGTCGATACAAATTACAAAATAACATTAGGTGTCAGAAGATTGAAACATTTCAATTAATTCATCATAAATTTCACTACCATATTTACCCCAAATATTTAATCTTGATTTATAAAACTTGACAAACTTGTTGCGCAATGCAGCTAACTTAAATCCTTGCGCAACCAATTTACCTAAAAGTTCAGTAACACAATTTTTGAAACCCTTAAGTGTCGAATTAATTCTGGCTAATCGTACTAATTGAGAAATAAATATTCCGTAAGACAAATTATTTGGAACGTTTCCATCCAAAAAAGGATATGATATAACTTTAAAATTATAATCTTTTCTTTTATCATATAATGTCACTCTAAACTTCCCTTGATAAATACTAATGTTTAAGTCTAGATAACAACATTTACGAGCCGAAATTGTTCCAAGATATAATATGTTATTTATTACAAACAAGATATTTCTTTTTGCCGTCCTTTGCATCTCTCATACAACAGCCTGCATGGATTGTGTCCACAAACTCGATTTATTTATAAGTTCCTGTTAAATAGGATGTGTTATGTGTATAATGTGTATAATGTGTTTCAGTGAGCTGCTACCAGAATCACGAGAGTGAGGATGAGGATCTGGTATTTGACAACAAGTCTGACGCTAATAACTCCTCCTCCTGCAAGATAAACCATCAGAGTCCCCCAACTACTAAAGGCACAAAGAGTTCTAGCGGCAACAATAATAATACCACAAATTCTTCTAATGGTAATTCCATTTTTTACCACACAGAAAATAATTGGGATAATTTCAGTATCTTCGAAGTTTAAATCTTGAAAACCGTGCGCGTTGAATGATAAAGGTGTCCCAAAAAGCTGATTTGAAAAGGGCGCACTCAGTCCCAAAGATGATGAGATGCTCAGCTTGTGGGGGCCGGTTGGGGGGCGCTTGTAGCTTTGTTTGGGGGGCTGGTGGGGGGGGGGGGCGCTTGTAGCTTTGTTTGTGGGGTGGTGGGGGGAGGGCGCATGTAGCTTTGTTTGGGGGGCGCATGTAGCTTTGTTTGTGGGCTGGTGGGGGGAGGGCGCTTGTAGCTTTGTTTGGGGGGCTGGTGGGGGGGGGGGCGCATGTAGCTTTGTTTGTGGGGTGGTGGGGGGAGGGCGCTTGTAGCTTTGTTTGGGGGGCTAGGGGGGGCGCATGTAGCTTTGTTTGTGGGCTGGTGGGGGGGGGGGGGGCGCATGTAGCTTTGTTTGTGGGGTGGTGGGGGGAGGGCGCATGTAGCTTTGTTTGTGGGGTGGTGGGGGGAGGGCGCATGTAGCTTTGTTTGGGGGGCTGGTGGGGGGGGGGGGGGGGGCATGTAGCTTTGTTTGTGGGGTGGTGGGGGGAGGGCGCATGTAGCTTTGTTTGTGGGGTGGTGGGGGGGGGCGCATGTAGCTTTGTTTGTGGGGTGGTGGGGGGAGGGCGCATGTAGCTTTGTTTGGGGGGCTGGTGGGGGGGTGCATGTAGCTTTGTTTGTGGGGTGGTGGGGGGAGGGCGCATGTAGCTTTGTTTGGGGGGCTGGTGGGGGGGTGCATGTAGCTTTGTTTGTGGGGTGGTGGGGGGAGGGCGCATGTAGCTTTGTTTGGGGGGCCGGTGGGGGGGGGGGGGGCGCATGTAGCTTTGTTTGTGGGGTGGTGGGGGGAGGGCGCATGTAGCTTTGTTTGGGGGGCCGGTGGGGGGGTGCATGTAGCTTTGTTTGTGGGGTGGTGGGGGGAGGGCGCATGTAGCTTTGTTTGGGGGGCTGGTGGGGGGGGGGCGCATGTAGCTTTGTTTGTGGGGGGGGGGGGCTTGTAGCTTTGTTTGAAACCCTCAGTAGCGCAGCATTGTGGTAAATGCAGATCTCTAATAAGCATGCGGGCTGTGTTTACTAACAGCGTATCTTCACACGGTGTATATTCACAGGGTGGTCAGTTAGAGCCTCTAAATTAAGCAATTTAGTAAATTTAGTGCTCAGTAACAGCTGCATCTTAAATGTGCCGAATGAACGAGTTCCTAAAATTTTTAACAATGATTTTTGAGCGCATAGCATGGCGCCTGTCTGTTGTAGCGTAAACCAATGGCCGATTATTTAAGAACATTGATCGTATGTAGCGACATTCTTGATGTATTACAGATAACGAAGATCCTAATAAACTTGTGTTCTAGGTAACAACGCGAACAAGAAAGCTGAGAAGAAGAAACAAACAGTGGAGGAACTGGCGGAGAGCATCACTGAGCTGAGTGTATCCGAGACGAAGAAACATGAACAGAAAACAGACATCAAAACATGCGAACAAAATGGAAACATTAGCAGCAGCAGCTCGGCTAGCAATGAGGTAACTAATGTTATTACGTCACACTCTCCATCTTCTAATATTATGACGTCACACTCTCCATCTTCTAATATTATGACGTCATACTCTCCATCTTCTAATATTATAAAGTCACACTCTCCATCTTCTAATATTATGACGTCACACTCTCCATCTACTAATATTATGACGTCACACTCTCCATCTTCTAATATTATGACGTCACACTCTCCATTGCATCTTCTAATATTATAACGTCATACTCTCCATCTTCTAATATTATGACGTCACACTCTCCATCTCCTAATATTATAACGTCACACTCTCCATCTTCTAATATTATGACGTCACAGTCTCCATCTTCTAATATTATAACGTCACACTCTCCATCTTCTAATATTATGACGTCACACTCTCCATCTTCTTATATTATGACGTCACAATCTCCATCTTCTAATATTATGACGTCACACTCTCCATCTTCTAATATTATGACGTCACACTCTCCATCTTCTAATATTATGACGTCATACTCTCCATCTTCTAATATTATGACGTCACAGTCTCCATCTTCTAATATTATAACGTCACACTCTCCATCTTCTAATATTATGACGTCACACTCTCCATCTTCTAATATTATGACGTCACACTCTCCATCTTCTAATATTATGACGTCACACTGTCCATCTTCTAATATTATGGGGGGGGGGGTGTCACGTCCGTCTATGTCCGCTTGTCTCATAGAATCCAAAAAGGACAGGACATAGGCGGACATAGGCGGACATAGACGGACATAGGCGGACATAGGCGGACATAGACGGACATAGGCGGACATAGGCGGCAGCAATAGCAGCAAATCTGGGGAAACTTGGTGGACATTTACTTTTTTCACACAATTTGAGTATGTTGACTTCAGCATGATGTTGCAGCTCATTGTGGTTAATCCCAATGTTGGAGTGATGTTTTTCTGGTGCACAAAACACTGCAGTACAGTTATGTTGAATAATTGTGGTTAATGGGTCATCTATGTGGCCACTATGGTGGTTAAAATTCCAGTTTTAGGGTTAACCACCATTTTGAGATATGATATTATGAACTGAGTAGTCATTATATTGAGATCATATCATGGTGCAACTATCACAAAAGTTTTCAAACCTCATAGGGGGCATTTTGTGGTCCTAATGGTGGTTAAATTGAAGATGAACGGTGAGCTATAAAAATTGCTTTGATTATAGATGTATAGTTATAGTGGTGGTTGTTCATTTGTGCATGGATCATAATTTTGTATCACAAATGTGAAATTTAATAGTATGGTTGATTTGAGGTGGTTAATATTCGTAAAAAGTGCTAAAAAGATGGTTAAATTGTCAAAAATTGTTGTTAACCACCAATCAAAACATTATTAACGATTTTAGTCAACATTTTATGGTCAACAAAGGACATTTCAAGGGTCTTGATAAAATTTATCGAGAAATGTTGTCATAAAAGTGGTTAAAATTGCTTTATTACTTGCTAGGCTGTTGAACAAGGCATCTATTAAATTGAAAATTAACCACAATATGAACTTCAGATAATGGTTTGCTATCCAATTGAGTGTATATTTGTTGGCAAATGCATAATTGACCCCAAGTTCATGCATTATGATCAATGTGCAGCTATGGTGGTTAAAATGTCTCGAAAATACCCTATATTTGCACTAATTAACCATTTTTAGAGCACATATTAGCTTTGTAAAGCTATAGCTGGCCATGCTACATTATCTAGATATAACTACCTGCTCATTTATATGACCAGAAACATTGCTGAGTCCTATGTTGCGTCCATCATGGTTAATAAAGGTCTAAAATTTACCAAAATCAGTGTTTTTGGTCGTTTTAACCACCATACGGCCACACATTTTGTTGCATTATCTTTAAAATCACTTATTATCCTCCAGCTATCTCTCATAATCAAATATCAAAACAAAATAAGGCACAATAAACCACTCCACAGACCACATTTATTAATTTTTTTAATTTCCTTCTTCAACTATGTGTCAATGAACCGTTTCTGTTCAATAATGACCATCAATTTTAACTGTAACACTCATATCTTCACTGTAGTAAGGGTTTGGGTGTTAGAGGTATAAAAATGTCCACTAACAAATCAGTCATTTTTCGACAACTTAACCACCTAACTCAGCACCAAAATGTTCTGAGATTTTTTTCGTTGCACTATCATGAAGCTATGACATTTTTGGACCTATGTAAATAATCAGATTACTAAAATTCATAATCTTTGATTTTTAAGGGGGGTTAAATGCTTCAAATTGGTGTATTTCAAAGTTTCCCCAGATTTGAGCTGCTATTGCTGGCGGACATTAATGGACACCTAAATTGCTAAATAAAATGTTCAATTTTTGCTGTTATAGGGGGATCATGTTTTTTGTCCGTTCGGTACCCTATATTTTCAAAACGGACAAAAAATAGAGCGGACAAAAACGGACAAAAACGGACAAAAATGGAAATAACATTTAGATGCTTCCTCCTCCTACTCTTCCTCCTCCTCCCCCTGGGTCTTCCTGATCTTCCTCAGTACTCTTCCTCCTCCCCTCCTCAGTCCTCCTCCTACTCCTCCTCCTCGTCCTCAGTCCTCCTCATCAGTCCTCAACAGTCCTTCTCCTCCCCAGTCCTCCTCCTCCTCCTGAGTCCTCCTTCTGGGTCCTCCTCCTGGGTCCTCCTCCTCCTCTTCATCCTCCTCCTCTTCCTCCTCAGTCCTCCTCAGTCCTCCTCCTCATCCTTCTCCTCAGTCCTCCATCCTCCTCCTCAGTCCTCCCCCAGTCCCCCTCCTCCTCCTATTCAGTCCTCCTCCTCCTCCTCCTCCTATTCAGTCCTCCTCCTCCTCCTCCTCCTTCTCAGTCCTCCTCAGTCCTCCTCCTCCTCCTGAGTCCTCCTCCTCCTCCTCCTCCTCTTCCCTCTCAGTCATCCTCCTCAGCCATCCTCCTCAGTCCTCCTCAGTCCTCCTCCTCCTGGGTCCTCCTCCTCCTCTTCATCCTCCTCCTCTTCCTCCTCGGTCCTCAGTCCTCCTCCTCCTGGGTCCTCCTCCTCATCCTTCTCATCAGTCCTCCTCCTCCCCAGTCCTCTCCCAGTCCCCCTCCTTCTCCTCCTCCTATTCAGTCCTCCTCCTCCTCCTCCTCCTCAGTTCTCCTCAGTCCTCCTTCTCATTTCTCCTAAGTCCTCCTCCCGAGTCCTCCTCCTGAGTCCTCCTCCTCCTCCCTCTCAGTCATCCTCCTCAGTCATCCTCCTCAGCCATCCTCCCAAGCCATCCTCCTCAGCCATCATCCTCAGTACTCCTCAGTCCTCCTCCTTCTCAGTCATCGTCAGTCCTCCTCCTCCTCCTGAGTCCTCCTCCTCCTCCTCCTCCTCTTCCCTCTCAGTCATCCTCCTCAGCCATCCTCCTCAGTCCTCCTCAGTCCTCCTCCTCCTGGGTCCTCCTCCTCCTCTTCATCCTCCTCCTCTTCCTCCTCGGTCCTCAGTCCTCCTCCTCCTGGGTCCTCCTCCTCATCCTTCTCATCAGTCCTCCTCCTCCCCAGTCCTCTCCCAGTCCCCCTCCTTCTCCTCCTCCTATTCAGTCCTCCTCCTCCTCCTCCTCCTCAGTTCTCCTCAGTCCTCCTTCTCATTTCTCCTAAGTCCTCCTCCCGAGTCCTCCTCCTGAGTCCTCCTCCTCCTCCCTCTCAGTCATCCTCCTCAGTCATCCTCCTCAGCCATCCTCCCAAGCCATCCTCCTCAGCCATCATCCTCAGTACTCCTCAGTCCTCCTCCTTCTCAGTCATCGTCAGTCCTCCTCCTCAGTCCTCCTCAATCCTCCTCCTCCTCCTGGGTCCTCCTCCTCCTCCTCCTCCTGGGTCCTCCTGGGTCTTCCTGATCCTCCCCAGTCCTCTTCCTCCTCCCCTCCTCAGTCCTCCTCCTACTCCTCCTCCTCGTCCTCAGTCCTCCTCATCAGTCCTCAACAGTTCTCCTCCTCCCCAGTCCTCCTCCTCCTCCTGGGGCCTTTTCCTGGGTCCTCCTCCCCAGTCCTCCTCCTCCTGGGTCCTCCTTCTCCTCCTCAGTCCTTCTCCTCCTCCTCCTCAGTCCTCTTCCTCCTCTTCCTCCTCCTCCTCCCTCTCAGTCATCCTCCTCAGCCATCCTCCTCAGCCATCCTCCTCAGTCCTCCTCCTTCTCAGTCCTCCTCAGTCCTCCTCCTCAGTCCTCCTCCTCCTCAGTCATCCTCCTCAGTTCTCCTCCTCCTCCTCCTAGGTCCTCCTTCTGGGTCCTCCTCCTCCTGGGTCTTCCTGATCCTTCTCCTCCCTCTCAGTCATCCTCCTCAGTCATCCTCCTCAGTCATCCTCCTCAGTCATCTTCCTCAGCCATCCTTCTCAGCCATCCTCCTCAGTACTCTTCAGTACTCTTCAGTACTCTTCAGTCTTCAAAATGTTTGTCCGCTATGCTAATGTCCACCAATGTCCACTAATGTCCACCAATGTCCATCCAAGTCCGCCAATGTCCGTCCGGGTCCGCCAATGTCCGTCCGAGTCCGCCAATGTCCGTCCGAGTCCGCCAATGTCCGTCCGTGTCCGCCAATGTCCCAAAAAACACGTCCGTTGTCTCATAGAATCCAAAAAGGACAGGACATAGGCGGACATAGACGGACATGACACCCCCCCCCATTATGACGTCACAATCTCCATCTTCTAATATTATGACGTCACAATCTCCATCTTCTAATATTATGACGTCACAATCTACATCTTCTAATATTATGACGTCACACTCTCTATCTTCTAATATTATGACGTCACACTCTCCATCTTCTAATATTATGACGTCACACTCTCCATCTTCTAATATTATGACGTCACAATCTCCATATTCTAATATTATGACGTCACACTCTCCATCTTCTAATATTATGACGTCACAATCTCCATCTTCTAATATTATGACGTCACAATCTCCATCTTCTAATATTATGACGTCACAATCTCCATCTTCTAATATTATGACGTCACAATCTCAATCTTCTAATATTGTGACGTCACACTCTCCATCTTCTAATATTATGACGTCACACTCTCCATCTTCTAATATTATGACGTCACACTCTCAATCTTGCTGTTTTGGACGATTAGTTATCGTGTCACTCACTGAGTATTAAGTATTGTTAATACCTTAGTCGGTAATATTATGGGGGGGGGGGGGGGGAAATTATGGGTTTTTAAAATATGGACTGTTATAAATATGGTTATTTGGCCCGAAAAGGACCAAATTTGACCCCCAACACTTTTAAATGCGACTTTCCTCAAATCGAAAATATTGATTACAAATTTTTCGCAATTACAACCATATTGCCGCTTTCGCACAAAATTTAATATTTTTTCATTAGATATCCGATCCCTATCAGGTGTTAAAGTACATTTGTTCTGCTACACACGAAGCGTTATTTTAGAATGTGGGGCTGACTGCTATCAAAATCTGGTGATTAAACTTCAGTTGTCAGTTGCATCGTGTAAATATTCACAAGCTCCCCTATAAGTATTATTTTAGCCCGTACAGCTCACGAATTGTACACTGAAACGAAACAGCTGCTGCTGAACTTGTATTATTCATCTGAAGTTGCTGATTGAAGCAAATTGTTCCTAGTTAACCCCTCAAATTGAAAAGATGGGGGAATAGTAGACAAATCGGACTTTTTGAACCAGAACTAGCTTCAATTCCTCAAACAATAACGTAAGCATACTTCTGGACGTGAATAAAAGAAACGTTTAGCATATTATGACTGATATACCAAAAGGAACACCAAAATTTTACTCGGGGGGTAAAAATATGAACTGTTATAAATATGGTTCTTTGGCCCGAAAGGACCAAATTAGACCCCCCATAATATTACCGACTAAGGTAGTTAATAGTACTATGTTTACAGTATGCACTGAAGGGGTATCCTAGGAAGTTCCTTGAACTTTTAACACGTACCCCTCCTCATTTAAAGATTTAACCCTCAATTAAGTTTCCTATCATTCGGCTGAGTCGACCCAGGAGATTGCATAGATCCAATAGATCCTTAGCTACTCCCTAGACTAGGTTACACTGAACCTTGTGCGCTAACCACTATTGTAATGTCTAATTTGGATATTATTTCCTGCAGAATCCAGGCAGAGTGAAGCGAACCTCCATATCGAAGAACACGCCTCCATTGTCGCCGTCGTCAATATCGCAGATAACCTGCTCTATATCTACTGCTGGAAGCAGTAAGATAGTTTACAGCAAACCCGCCACAACTAAAACAACTAAGACATCGACCAGTTAGTTTTTATTAATTATTTTATAACTTTAACAATACATAGCATAGGTATTAGGTATACAGGGTGAGTTGAAAATAGTGTGTGGAAAGTAAATGGCTCTAATTTTTTTGACAAATGAAATTTCCACTTAATTTTTGCATATTTAGGTAATGAAAATATATACTTTTTATAATAATACAATTAAAATACTTAATAATTAATAATTTGCTCAACCCATCGTCCTTTATTAACTAGGACATATTGATAACGTGTAAGACAATTGTCTATAGCCGACTTGACTGTATTATGGGGGCAGGGGGTCTTCATGGAAATTTTCTCAAAATCGACTTTTTAGTTAGTTGTTTCTGATAGAGGGGAGTAATATCCATCAGATGCTTTTGATGCCGTGGAAAAATATCGTTCCTAGCCGGAATTATTGCCGGTCAAAGGTCAGCACGTGTGTGGAAATTGTATTGCGCGAGAAATTTTTGATCGCGTGCCCTGAAAATCGAGTCTAAAAATCAATTTTCTCCTACATTTTTTGAGCAATCACCCTGAAACTGTCAGTATATGTTCCAAGGATCATTTAAAAGAGATGAGCCCGACAGAATTTTGAGATAGGCCTTTAAACAATTTTTATTCGATTTTGAAAATCTTGGACCTCGTTTTTTGATGATTTTTTGAGGTCGACGATTTTCAAAATCGAATAAAATTTTTTAAAAGGCCTATCTCAAAATTTTGTCTGGCTCATCTCTTTTAAATGATCCCTAGAACATATCCTGAAAGTTTCAGGGTGATTGCTTTAAAAATGTAGGAGAATATAGATTTTTTAGACTCGATTTTCAGGGCACACGATTTGAGAACCCCATTAGGACGAATTTAAGATTTTTTGGAAAACTGCCAAAAATCAACCAAATTATGAGTTAGAATCAAATGAGAGGCAAGAATGAAATATGTAAAGTTTATGAACTGATAGCAATTCACCTTTCAAAATTTGCTGTATACAGGTAGTGATGGACAAAGTTTAAAGTTTGTTGCTTAACAAAGAAAATCAATATTACTGTAACCAGTACGTTTTGGTGACATTAACAGATCGTTCACAATGTACAAGGGCCAAATTTTAGCTATTTAAGACCCCTTCATTACTGCAGGTGTTTACTCTGGATGATATCCAGAATTAACATTGTCGAAGTTGGCTTGTTGCCGGTTATATTGATTAACAACTTCCCCCTTTTATTCAGGCATAACAACCTCTACCATTACCTCTACTCGTCTCCCTAAGAACACACCGCTTCTCAACATTACTGACGCGGCCCAAATCTCCATGACGGTATCCCCCGTCAAGCGAACTCCTAAACGAAACGAGATAACGAGTCCCAGCAGCGATACCTGTATTGATAACAACCGCGATAATTCCAGCCAAGGTACCTCTCCAAAATGCTTTTTTTAAAGATATATTTATTTGTCATATTGTAGCCGGCTATATACCACCCTGTATAAGGTGGCTGTGCCCCTGATCTTCAACACATCAACTGATGCTTTTCTCAGGGTCTATAGGTACGAGGGAGAGAATCATAGCCACAACAATATCAACAGCGTCTGCTTCCTCCACCACAGCAATATGTGCTACCACCGCTAGTGCTTCAACCCCCGCCACTATTGGTGAATGGCAGGAGGTTCCTAGAACTACCAACTCTATGAGGAGCTGCTTTATTGTTGTACCTAACACCCTTATAGGTGAGAATATTACGAATGTTTTATACAGTTATACTAGCAAACCCCACGAATAATAATAGAGACGTTGTAGTCGTGATACTACTACTACTACTTCTACTACTACTACTACTACTACTACTTGTAGTCGTGATTATTTATACAGTTTCTGATTGTTGCAGGGCGCGTTATCGGTAAGGGAGGTCGACGAATCAATACAATAACGGATGTATCTGGAGCTCAGATAACTGTGAGCAAGGCGACCGGTAAAAATTCAGATCGTACTGTCACAATCAGAGGACTACCTAAATCAGTTACTAAAGCTCAAAACATGATCAGTGCTGCGCTACAATCAAACGTGAGCAAACAACCTTAATATACTAACCTCCCCCCCCCCCCCCCCCCCCCCCCCCCCCCCCCCCCCCCCCCCCCCCCCCCCCCCCCCCCCCCCCCCCCCCCCCCTAATATACTAACCTCCCCCCCCCCCCCTTAATATACTAACCTCCCCCCCCCCCCCCCTACTTTACTAGAAACTAATACATTGTTTGTAAAGTAATGCGAAATCTTATAATGTCAATAATTTTCACAGGATATCGAGAGTTTCATTGAGCAAGTAAAGCCAGCCCCACGCCCCCACTCAGCCCCCTCATATCCTCCTGAGGATGAACCTCCTCCTAAAGAAAACATCGTCACTACACCTATCCCCTTCGCTGAATCTGAAACTGAATCGTCAAAACCAGCCGTTGCCTCCTTCGGTCCCATTGGTTCCTCAATTCACAAAGGGAGGTTGTACCGCTCTGTTGAGGATATCTCCGCTGCTACTGGACCCATTATTGTGGTTCCCACTACGAGTAGTGAGGCGACACCCTTCTCACCCTACTCCCTCTACCCAACCTGGCCTCCTACTGCATTCGAAACAAACCGCGCACGCGAGAATCAGGCGGTAGCGGATGGTAAGATGAGTTACGCGGAGGCGGTGGCAGATAACAAGAACCTGAGTACAGAGCATCCTCTTCTAGAGCAGGGGTGGTCCAGTGCGGACAGTGAGACAGACAGTTCCAGTGGAAACAATGAGGAAACCGAACATGTCACGGTACTTTAACTTTCTCTTTTAGTTTCTCATTTGCTTTGATCTCAATTTGGTCGTTCGTTGATTTTACTTCTCGTTTTGGGTGTTATTTGTTTAGAATAAGGGGGAGGGGGTCCAGCCTGAAGTGCCCACTGCACCGGTTCCGGCGATCTACAGGGTGGGCCAAAAGTCAGTGTGCAAACGTTGGCCTTAATAGCTCAGTCACTGAGTGCCCAATTGAAATACTTCCTTCTGGTATGACTTAGTACCACCACTGGTTCGAGGAATTTGTCAACTCGAAAAATATTCTCGTTCATTTTTTTCAAATGGAGGTTCATTTTCACATTTATTTGATAGTTAGGATAGTCGGATTAAGCTAAATGTTATTGAATTGTGTTTGGCCATTCGAATTACGTTTGTCCTGAAAGAATTAGAACTGTAGCTTCTCAGATGACCGAGATATGAAGCATAACGAGTTTATTCATTACGTGTGATCAGGTGATTGGTTTACCTAATCACGTGATAAGGTGACCCCGTTAACTACCCCGTTAAACATTTTGGGAATTGTTAAGGGTGCCCAATTAAGGTGTCGTGTCACGGTGTCACATAATCACCCAGTCAATTTTGTTAACGAGATACACAAAATGCTTGATAACTTCGTCATTTCTAATCCGTTTTGCCTCATGTTTTCAGATCATATGCAACATTTGATAATCTACCGTCTCTGAAAAAATTAGGCGTTCAGCATGTTCAGAGAAAACAATATAGGTGTTTTAATATTGAATGGGCTGGTCTAAAATATTCGAATTTTCAAATTTTGACGACGGAATCCTCGAACCAGTAAGTACAGTATGCCATCTGCAAAGCAACAGCTCTCAAATATAAAACACGGCGGAGGTATAAGACCCAACGTTTGCACACTGACTTTTGGCCCACCCTGTACTTTTTAGCCCAATTATGCCAAATCACCTAAACATGCCCAAAATCAAGCTTATGGGTGCTGTATTTTCATCCAGATTTCATCACGAATTTCGAAGTCTTTTCATTCAGAGATTACATTTGATTTTCATAATTTTACATACAACCTCGACCTTGTTTAGTATATGGGTTTTATAGAATAGTCTGATATCATGCGGGCTCTAGTGCTCAGAGTCTGCAACTCCTCAAAAGTTCAGCCACGGGCCCCCGTTTGTTGGGTGGGGGGGTGGTGGGGGTTGGGTACAAGTTTCAGGCTGGACCCTCGTTAAGTCGTCACGTAAGTTACTCAGTAACTCCTTTGTTAAAGAAAATTTGTGTTGCAATTCACTACATATTTAGAGAAAAGTAAAACCTCCCATTTCAGCCAAAAGCTCGAGAGTTCACAAACCCAGGTCTCCCGGATTACATGTTTGCCCCCGACTTCTTCGCTCGCTCCACCTCACTTCTAACTAACAACTTCAGTCCCACCACCGCCAACAATTTCACGGCTAGCACCGAGAACACGTCATCTGACTCGCCAGCTCACGTGCCAGCTCACGTGCCAGCCCACGTACCCCCGACCAGCATGAGCAGCTCAGTAATGACGAGCAGCAGTCAGCAGCAGCGTGGTGCATCAGCCCCCCAGCAGCAGCGTGGTGCCCCGCGCCAGTTTGTTCCTGGGTCTCATCTACTAATGAGCAACTCTCAGCCTCCCCCCACTGTCCCTAATATCGGGACTCAAACTATTGGGGCTCCTACTTCGCTTGGTGTGTTTTCTTATCTTATTTTAACCCATTTCTTAATGTATTATATAGTAAACGGGCGAAAACTCTTTCCTTGAAAGATCCTCCATTTATTCCTCGACAATCTTACTTTTTACATTGTATTGTGTAATTACATTACTTTTTACAGGTGCAAGCAGCTCGCTAGGCCCCGGTGCACCCATCGGACCGGTCCCAAATTTGGGGGCTGCAAACGCTAGCATAGTGGGAGGGTCGGCTACAGGGTCGCACAATACCCCGCTCAACTATTATTCTGATCTACCAGGGTAATTGATTTGTAAATAAGAGTATTAAATTTAAATGTATATAATGTATATATAAATTTATATATTTGTTCTGCTGCAGTTGACTGTGCTAACTGAATGTTGTTCGCCCCCTCCCCTCCCCCCTTCCCCCCTTCTTACACCTACCCCGCCCTCAGCTACAACTCTGGCCGTTCAAACAACATGTACAACTCGCTGTTACACTCGGGGGCAGGCGGGGGAGCCTGGTCGCTCTACAATGGCACTACGTGGTCACAGGACCTTGAAAATGTGCCCTGCTACCAGTGGCCGCTTCCCACACTGCTTTTCAAGCTGGGACTCTCAGACTACATACCGTTAGTTTTACTCTGGTCCAACATGACCCTTAATATAATTAATTAAACCATACTTGTTGCTTCATTTCTGCAGCGAAACTTAGAGTTGGGAACTACCACAATAAATGATGTAATATATGTACGATTTTATCCCTTAAATAGCCCAAATTGGCAGAACTTGTTTTTTACTCTATCTTTAGTCGGAACTAACTTTGGAAATTTGTAGAGGCTAGAACAGCTGAAGATCACGGTGCCGCAGCTAGCCCAACTTTCTGTCAGGGACCTCCATTATCTTGGCTTCACTGAATCGGACGCCCAACGTCTCTCCTCGACTCTCCAATCCCGCAACCGCACTATTCAACTTCTACCAATCTGAGATTCTGCAGTACCCTTAGAATTAACACACGTTTTGTCATCTCACGCGTGCGTGCCGTCACGCTGCTCAGCGACGTGGTGTGCACGCCGCGCGCGTAAGAGTTTGAGTAGATTTTGGAACTGATGTAACAGGTAACTGAACATCGCTATCGATATTATTTGAAACTGTAGAAAAAAAGGAGTTGAAACTTTATTTGAAAGTGTTTATCTTACCGAAAGTTTATCATGATAGTATATTATAAGTGTACACTTTGCAACGATGTAGCAGTAAGTGTGTTTTTGGGTACAAGATTTGAAATACTCTAATATTGGTTGCATTAGTTGTGTAGCGATGGCGCGTCATACATATTCCTGTTTTATCATTTAGAATGGACTTTTATTTGCTTACAACTTATTCTCGCCACTTTTATCATAACAGGTTATTATTTGTCCCGTCAACCAGGCCAGGCTACTAGGCCCAGGATGCTGGAATATTTTTAATTCATTCCACCTTATTTTACTAAACCGAAAACTTTGCTAAACCGAATACTTTACTTTAAATCACTCTTCCGTGTTCCATTTAAAAAATGATTTATGGGTATGTTAACGGGTGATACTCTTAAAATAGGGGGGGGGGTCCAGGGGAAGTTTGGGAAATCCCCCAAGATTTCTGAGTTCCCCAAAAAAAAGTCCCCAAAACTCCCAAAGTTTCCCAAAATTCCCCAAAATTATTCAAAATTATTTAAAATTATTCAAAATTATTCAAAATTATTCAAAATTTCTCTAATATACATTAATTACCATTAATGTTAACATGTATGTTATTATAAGGTATAATCTTAACTTACTTGTTGATACTTGCAGCATGATAAATTTGTTTGGCATTATAATTTTTTTGGGGAATTTGGGGAACTTTGGGAAATTTTGGGGAACTTTCTGAAGTTCCCCAAAAAAAAAGTTCTCCAAAATTCCCCAAAAATTATTTGTTTCATTGGATAATTTTTTGGGGAACTTTGGGAAAGTCCCCCAGGTTCCTGAAGTTCCCCACAAAAAAGTTCCCCAAAACTCCCCAAAGTTCCCCTTGGACCCCCCCCCCTAAAATATCTGTCCATTACTATTATTAAGGGGGCATACACCAAACATGTCCAACCCAGATGACCTCCTGGGAAGTTAAGTGACCATCTAGCGCACCGTTTCCACACCAAATTTTTTTTGAGAATACCTTTTTCTGTAATCGAGCATTTCCTGGTAAAGTGCATTTTCGGAAAAGCACAATTTGTTTTGTTGAGAGGCTATAAATCAATCATTTCTTGTGATATCGAGCTGAAATGTTGCACGACGTTTATTCATCATATTATCTTGATGTCCTCAAAAATGTGTTTATTCAACTGGAAAGTTGATCTTTTGGACCTCAAAGTCAAACAACAAGTTTAGGCATATTTTTTTTAAAACTGTGCCAGAATTCAGAAAACATTTTCATGTCGATGTTCATGTCGATGTTCATGTCGATGTTCCTTGACGGACTTTTTGGTCAAAACAGCCTGAAAAGTAAAATAACCACTTTTTGAAAAAATTTATAAAAACGCAGCCTTTCGGAAACGATATGAAGATTTTAACACACATCTTGAACATCAACAAGATATAATAAACTTCGTACAAAATTCCTATGAGGTCATTTGGGTTGGCGGACACAAACCCCTGTTTTGGTGTATGCCCCCTTAATGGACTGACATGACCCGGCTCGATCTAATTCGCAGCATTTGCCTTGGACAATATATTCCGAAAAGAATAGACGAGTACTAAACAAGTATCATCGTCACGGTCAAGTAAAATATTTGCTCCAAATATCGACGAGTTCAATAAAAAACAACTCTGCGCAAGTTCAAAGTTGCAAGTATTGATAGGTTATTACCCTACAAGGGTAGTGCCTTAATTTCCATAGTGTGGATTACTGTCTACCAAGTCTTTTATTTTTAACTAGCTTGCTACTCACCCGGTTCTTGTCATACGTTGTATGACCCGCTGCGCACGAGTGCGCGGCTCCCCCTGTATCGTCACCATAGTGAAACGACCGTGGGGGTCGTAACGTGATACAACCCGGTTCTCGTCACATAAATAATAAAGATAGTTTCCTGTGCGGGACGCTCAAAAAGAGCGCGGTGCATTGTAATTCATAATTGGGATTGGCGTGCCAGGTAACCGCAAATCTCCTGATACCGGGTGATGAAAATAAACCCATCATGCTTGACATCTCTTACTGGGCCGCGCTCAGCCTGTCATTCCGCCGAATCTCTATATGTTAATGAACATGATAGCCTGAGGTCCCCAGGTAAGGACATCTCACATCTGATTCGGTCAAATGTGTGTTATAGGTTAACGATCTACCAAGACGCGCGCCGAGTTGATATGAACTAGTCGTTATTTGGAACAAATACGAAATATTTTACAAGTACAAAGTATCACCCGTTATTGTTAATCAACTGTCAAGGCCGAGCCTCTGCGAAGGATGGAGTCATGGCGAAGGCCAGGCCCATTTGCATTGGCGCATTGCATGCACGGATTTACCAATTATTTTGCATTTTGCAATCTATATTGTTAGACTGTTGTTTTTTGAGTAATATCAAATATTGAAATATGGGCAATTTCGTTGGAGCGTGCTAAATCACTTTACGGTCAATCTTTGATTCACGATGTCAATCCTTCATTATTTGACGATGTCAATTCATCGCAGCTCGGCGCGGCACAGTAGCGCATCTCGTCGATCTAGCGAGAAGCATAAATGAGTGCGCGGCGCAGCACAGTTACGCATCGCGCTACAAATCCTTCACAGCTCGGCGAGGCCCAGTGGTGCAGGAAGAAGTGGTTGCGAGAAGCATTATTGGATGCGCTTCTCCTCAGGTATCAGGTTGAAGGAGAGATTGGATATAGGGGCGGTCCATGCCTTCTTTGCCTTTCCACGTACACCTCTTACCGCTACTAGCAAACTCCTCATTATGTCCATGCCCATTGCTCAGGCGTGTCTTGATGTTACACATGTCACCTGGCTGTAGTCCTTCTTGGTTTTGGTGGCTATGAACACAGCAAGTCTCTTTATGAAACGCTTGGCCTCAGGTGCCATTCCTCCTGTAATTTGTTTTCCTAAAGCATATACTCATACTGATACTGAAATCCTTACGAGAAATTAGATTTACTCAGAACTTGTATAAATTCCATCTGCAACAGGGGTCACAGAGGTGTCAAAACTCTTTTATCCACGGCAATAAGTGATTTTGACCTTATGTGGACCTTATTATAGCTCTTAGAGGAGAAAGAGGGAAAAGTAGTAGTGCATTTACTGCTCAGAAGTACTGTCTCAGAGTACTATTTGGTGATAGGCTGGCGTACCTTGATAAGTTTAAGACTTGTGCACGTACTAGGCCTATAGAGCACCAGAAACTTGACCAAAAATTTTTTCATAAAGAGCACACCAAACCTATATTCAAGCATAATAATATTTTAGCTATACAAAATCTCTATACATACCACAGTTACCTGGAGCTCTACAAGATAATGAAATTCCGTGCTCCAATATCCTTACATGAGGGTAACACATGTGTGTCTTGTCATACGTTGTATGACCCGCCGCGCACGAAGTGCACGGCTCCCCCTGTATCGTCAGGACGATAGTGAAACGACCGTGGGGGTCGCAACGTGATACAATGTTCGTCAAGGAAACCCTGCCTTCTAATCTGTCAGGCAGACCCACCTGACAACCACAACACTAGATCAACCAAAATTTTTAACATTTTGCTGGCTCAGTCACTACATCTCTGCATACTTCACGCTGCAGCTCTGCATTTAGATCGCAGAGCCAGTGTATTGATTGTTATCTGACTACTCGTACTATTTACCTTTATAAATGTTTCCACAAATGTTCCTTAGTTTTTTAAGGGTTTTTACTCAGATTTTTACTCTATTAATTAAAAAAAATTTATTGACGGAAGTTTACTTTCGGGTGTCCAACAATTACCATTGTTGAATTTATTTGTGTATAATGTTTGAATAATTTTGTTGTTGCAGTGTTGACCATTGTTAATGATCTGGCCCGGCGCGCGCTACTTCGTAGCACTTGCCGTCGCGTCGGGCCATTTCGAGAAGAAAGCGGCGCGCGCTACTTCGAAGAAATTTAGACGAGTAACATCCGTCAATTGCAGTGTTACCTTTGGTGTGTTTCTTGCTCTAACCAGAGCCCTCTCGCATGCAGTAGCGCGCGACCGCCGGAGGCGGCAAAGAGGGCTCTATCCATGGCCACAAACTGGCACCACAAATCGTGGTGCCAGATTTCCTGGCCTCCCA